CATGTAGATCTCTATTAAAGAACCCTTCTCGAATGCTTTCTTGGTAAATCGGGCTCCCATCAACGGGCCTTTAGAACTTGATAGTGGATCCTTAGACACAATAGGCTTATATCCTTATACTTGAAACTAGTTGTAAATATGTGGGACCTTCTTAGCTCCTCCAAGCAAGCCACTTTCACCCTTTGGGCCTTGCTCCTCGTGGTCAAGCCTTGCCATCTTAATTATGTTATATGAAGTTCTCCATTAGCCCTTTAGATTTGGATCAAATAATTAATAACTATTAGTATTTGTATATGGGAAAATAAAGAGTTTTCCAAATGTGTAAACAATAAACAATGTTGTTACAGATTTCTAGAGGCTAAGCCTAAGAGGAAAAAAACAAAAAAGTCCAAGAAGCAAGAGCAATAAGCAATGGATACGTGTATTGTGATGGCAGAAAAAGTGTGTTGGATAGTGTGAAGGACACAATCATCTTATTTCTTTTCTATCCTTCCTTTGTTATGGGCTATTTCCTCCCTCCTTTCTCTCTTTCTTTCTTTGTTTCTTTTTTTTTTTTTCGTTTCCTCCCTCCCTCCTTTCTATTGAGCAAAAAAGAAGGCAATATTGCCGTCGAATACGTGACTTGACAAGTAAGAGCAACGTGCCCTTGCCAACAAGCAATGAGTTTGAAGGCTATTTCCTCCCCCCTTTCTATTTGTTATCATGCTTTCACCCTTCCATTGAAAATCTGTGTCAGATGACGATAAGGGATCTAGCTCCTACATTTTATCATGGAAGGCAAGATCGCATTGTTAAGCTTTATTGGTTAGTTGAGCATCGAGTTTAATTTCAACAGTAAAGTTTAGTCTTTCTTTCATTTTTTTCATTTTCGTTCTTTATTTTGCTAGATCTTTATACATTTCTTCATTATTCTTCCATTTGAATTCTTCTTCTTCTTCATTGTTTCAGCCTTTTTTTTTCTTTAAATATTAGCCCACCCAACCTGCCTAACCTGTGGGATTGGGCAAGTTGATCGAAGTTAATCCCAAGTTGCTCAAGTTAACTTGGGTCAATTGTATCCACTTTGGAACAGAAAATCAGATTGAATGTATGGCTAATTCACCAGTCCGATCTAGTTTTAAAAACAATAGTCAAAAGAAGATCAACGGTGAGGAGTAATATATAAAAATTTGTTAGGTGATGGGATAGGAGTTTAAATTGAGAACCTTAAAGTAGCTAAATAATTATGCAGAACATTATTACAAAATATAGTTTTTATTACCTTAAATTCACGTTACTTTTTTAAAAATAATAATATTAATGACATTTTTATAAATAAATAATAAATAAGTATGACAATTCACGTCACTTATATAAAAAAATGACTTAAAAACTAAAAATTTTAAATCATTTTTTAAATTGGTAACGGGGATGAATTAATCCACATTGCTTATAAGAAAAGCAACGTGAAATAATAAAGATAATTTTTTTAAAAAAAATATATTATCAATCCACATCTATTTTTTTTTTCCCGGTGAACGAGACATGGATAATATGTCATTCAAATCCACATCCTTTCCCATTGGGCAGTGAGGTTGATTTGAATTTTAAAATACCCAGTTGCTCATTTTTCATTTTAGGTTTTGCTCTTTTAAGTCTTTTTGGCTCAGTGCAATTGCATTCTTCTCCTTGTTCCTTTGTTTATTCTCATCAACAATCCACAAAAATGGTCATAGTTTTCAACAAATCAGTGTTCAAAGTCCCCGACTCTGTCACCAGGCCTGAATCCAGCCCTGTTTCTTCCCTAAAAGATGACTTCCTCCCAAAGCACTTCGCCTCCATACAATCCGCTCCCATCTCTGTCAATCTTGGCTCCGTCGGTCTCATGGTATATTCTCTGGACAAACAGAACCCTCTCCGCCCAAGGTGAACTATGAATTTCTCGATTCATAAAATAAAAATGATGAGAAGGGAATCAGTTTTTATAGTCTGTGTACTTTCATTTATTTTTGTTAATTCATTTTTTGCTAGATCTATGTATCTTTGTTTCTCTTCTAAGAGATTTTAGCACCTAAGATTAAAATTGGAACTTATCGTAGAAGCCAAGTACTTATTTTCTCCTGGTTCGTCCATATATATATATATATATATATTTTGGATCATCGAATTGCATGGTTTTAGACCTTGTGATGGGATAAATATGCTAACATCCAATCGCTAAGAAGTGACATGGTTTCTATAATAATCAAGTTACTTTTTTGCTTAATAGTGAAGTGATTTTTAAATAAACTATGTCACTTTTGATTAAAAAATGATGTGGTTTTTCTTTTTCACGTCCCACCTAAAAATAATGTGAATAAGATATTTTTGTAACTCGTTCAAATCTATATCCTCTTAACAACAATGTAAAATGTCTTAAAAAAATGACATGAAAAACTTTTTTTTATAATAGTAAAAGGTTTTATAACGTGTATATATATATATATATATATATATAGTGAAGTGGGGTTGAGCAGAAAGGATTAGAGCATTCATGTGCTGTGTTGCACACTAGCATGCAATTCAAAACTCATACCAGTTGGTTTGGAGGGAGGCGGAATGGCTGCCATTTCTATGCAACATGCCAAAGAAATGCCATCGTCCACCCATATACGATTAAAGCTTCACATGAGCCAATTCGGAATATTGGCAGTGCCCCCTTGCTTCTTGTATCATATTTATAATTGAAAAAAATGAGTCAGCTCATCTTCAGAACAGGTTCTTAATGGGCTTGAGTTTGAAAAAGCTTGTTTTCACATTGAAGCCTCAATTTAAAAATTCCATCCTAGAGTTTGTAGGTTTAGGGCTAACCTTAAGTACTTCGAGCCCTTTTATTTTTTTTATTTTTTAAATAAATAATAGAAAATAAAATAGAGAAAAATAATTAAATAGAACTAAATCAAACCAAAAATAATCAACCCACTAAATACAAAATCGTCCTTCAAATTTCCAAAATCAAACCAAATAAAACTAAATAAGTCTTCTCTAAATATTAATAAAACAATAACATCAAAATATTAGAAATATTATCATAATGATCAGTATCATCTTTATTATTATCATTTTTAATATCAAAATACTTGTTGTATATAAAAGATATAAACAAGCTTAAACGACATAGCTCATAATCTTAGAAGGTTAGCTCATTTATTTTTTTGAACCTATTAAAATCAGCTTGTTTAAGTTTGATTAAGTATTAACAGACCTAGAATGTAAGCCCGATCCTTCATTTAAATGGATTTAAACGGGTTTGATTCATTTTCCCAACTCTAATGTGGATGGATATTGGATTGATTCGCTGCTTTGAACTTGGTGGTTTGTTTGATATTTGTCCGTTCAAGTGTGGAAAAAAAAAAAAAACGTAGGCGTCAGGATTATATCCCCGTGGCTGATGAGTTGTTGAATGTGTCTTGCCTTCAAGTGAAGTATGACTTTTCATCCCGCCATCATGCTGTCAGTGAAACGTTAGCAAGAGAGAGATGCTCAAACCACGTTCATAGAATTGAATTTTTCATACATAACTCCAATTTTCACGGCACACAAAATAATATCCATCCATGCTATTTTCCATACATCAAATAAAAGAAGGGAGTGGAAGTAATAGGGCCCTCAGGTCCGCTTTGTCGAGATCGAGCTTCCCAACCAACGTTACAGTTTTCTTAAATTTAAAAGAAAACACGAATCGTGAAGGCTTTTCTTTTCTTTTTTATGGTTTGCTGCTGCACACTGTTTCTTTACAATTACCAATATGCTGTTCTTTTCAACATAATTCGCATTTAGAGCACTCGCTGATTGAGTCTTCCTTCCGTCGATAGTTAGCGTTTTGGTATAGTCAAAGATTAGAATCTTCTCTTAAGCAATGACGCACACAAAAATGTTTTACTACAATAATACAAATTAATATATAATATATTAGTGCGTCAAGATTGATCTCACAAAAAATCAAGTAAATTAACAATTAAGTAATAAAATTTTTATTTTTGTTTACATTAAGCAAAACTATTTAGAATTGATTAATTAATCAAAATTAAAAATTAAAATGAATAAAATGCAATGAAAAGCTTTATCCAACAACCGCATATCTCCAAAGCAACCTAAAGCTGTTAACCCCTTGCCAGCTTCATAAATTATGCTCTTACCCAATTAATTGATTCTTAATCTCAATTTTGTTAATATAGAATATTGATAGCTACAAGGGCCTTTCGAACCTCAAATAGCTCCCCTTTAGATTAATTATGTTATTTTTAACAAAATTATTCAAGAAGCCAATTCAATTCCAACTTATTCTAATTTGATTATATGAGGCACTTAGGAATTATTTATATCCTAATTGCAAATTAAATAAAAATTCAATCTCATATTACTCAATCTAATAATCCAAGCGTGAATCCCTTTTGTCAAGAAAAAAACCAGACATCCATATTCGTATCTAATGGTAGCCAAACATCAAATAGACAATTAAGTGTAACATTGAGCAACCAAAATCATCATTAAGCATAACAAATTGGTAAAAACAAGCTCTAATCAATCAACAAGTTCATAACCACTTTAGGTCAAGTATAATTAGCCACTAACAACAATTAAACTAGTATAAATTACCAATACTTATTAAAAGATATGTCAAAATATAAAGAAAAGGAAAAAGAGAGCTTATGACAGATGATTTTTGTCACAAATTATAAAATTTAAGTGTTCTCCAAGCTTTTTCAATTCATTTTTTACCTTTGAACGCTCCCTAAAAGTACAGTTGCTATCAAAGATGAATTGGAATAAAAAATAATTCTCAAAAACGCTTAAAATTAAAATCTAAGTAAGGTTGTGCGTTTTATAAAAAATTATTTTGACATCGCAACATCCAATTCGATGTTACAATATTAGTGGGTAAAACTCAAATTTATTACAGACTTCAAAATTTACGACTTTGTGTCATAAATTAGGCCACTTTACATGAATAAAATCCAAATTTAATACCATAATTAATCCAATAGTTTTTACAATTATCTTGAAACTTATCCACATCCATTCTCACAAATAATTGTCCATTTAATCATAAATTTGCTAATGCCACAAGATGACTTCAAATTATATTAAAAACCCTAGTAAATTCATTAAAATATTAAAAGCCATCAAGCAATAACCACGAGTCCTCTATCCCCAAATGTGTCTCCATGTTTGCAATCAGCTTGTGCGAGACCGATCAACATCTGTGGAAGAAAGACTCGGCAATCAAAGTCCCACGATTAATTCAACTAACTGTGCCTCTCACAATTCCCTTGTAACTTTTGAAAACAAAGTACAGAAAAATGAGGAAACTCTAGCTGATGCGCAAGAATTTCTGCAGACTTGACATTCACACAAGTATTGGCACTTTGGCACGCCTTAGGGTGGGCACTGTTAGTGATACTGGTACATAGTCATACACTTAAAAACTTGTGAAGGACGGATTAAAATTTCTTGATGAAGTCATGGATGTGCGCACTGATCTCCGCTGGCCTTTCTTGATTCAGAAAGTGGGCTACTCCTTCCATAACAACCACTTGTTGTAAAAACGGAACATCTCTCTTGAATCCGCCATTATGTATATATTCCTTAATGCCTGGAGTATTATATGTAATGTCCAGATCTCCTACAATAAACTTGACCGGGACTTTGATCTGTAGCCCAGTCCACGGCGCTGTGAGTTCCCAGTTTCTGCAAACAAAACCAAATTGGTGGTTGGGATGAGAAACCGAGAAACAAGATCACGCTCAACAGGTGGGAGAAGCTGAAATTATTGGCATCGTTTAACACATGAGCATTTGATTTTTTTTCTTTAAGACCTTGAACAATATTTATAGAGCATCTGAGTTTGGCATTTGCAAAAAAAATCATAAAATTTCTATTATGCAGAACATTGACCACTTATGAATTTTCATCATGTTCTATTTGTTATATTCGAACATCTTATAAATAGGGTTTTTAATGCAAGAAGCTTGCTTTCCCAACAGAGAATGACAGAACCTTACAGATTCATCGCACGATAATAGTTTAAACCGCCAGTGAAGCCCTTCTCGTCAAATTTACTGACATAATAATTGACATCTTCTTCAGACAGCCAAGAAGGCAAAGTTGTTGGAGTATCAGATGAACCTCCAAATCCTATCTCTTTAGGGACACAAGGTGGACTTGGATTTCTATATGTTAAAAATTCCTTTATTATTCTCGCAGTACCAGCACGGGCAAACTCTTCTTCAACCTCCCCAGGTTTCTACAGGACAAGCGGATCCCCGATATTAGTTTACCAGCTAACAAGTTCCATGAAAAATAAATACCAATTAAAATTAACATATAGAATAACAAGGCAACAAGATTGGATTGCAAAGTACTGATTCCTGTCAATCAGAAATTGATTCTAAAGAACAAACCATGAAGCAGAGTTATTGAGAAAATGATGAAGAGAAAACTGATAGAATATTCATTAATGGAAATGATACAATATGACAATGAAATTGATCCTTTACTTGAAGGGTTTACCACACTAATCTATCCACTTGGGTGATTCTCAAACTGCATTTTGGGAACTAACTTGAGGTGAAGGCCTATGTTAACTTCCCTCTTGAAGGTGGGATGAAACTCCCTCACTCAACACAATGACATGATCCCTTTATATAGATTTAGGGATATCAACTAACTAGGTGATTAACACTAATCACCCCTAATATTCTAACACCCCCCCTCAAGTTGACACCCCTTTAACTCTTGTTGCCCAACTTGCCAGCAACAATTACAAGGAGGGAACAACAATATAACTGGAATATTAACAATTATTGATCAATTAGACCAATTACAAACCATTTATAAACCATCCTACACTTGTAGGATAAAATCAATGTTTTTCTTCATCATCAGATTCATCCTTCTTTTGATCAACCTTGCCATGCCTTTTTTTTTTTTTTGGGCACCACTAACTGTAACCAGGTCTCTCTTTGCCCAAGATGCTAAACAAAACCTCCTGGAAATAAGCCAGCACTTCATATTGTGAATCCAAATTCGGAACTTTTTCAGCAAATTTTGCATCAAACAAGTACATTCTTCTATCACTTGAACTCAAAGTAGTCTTCAAGACTCACCTCTCCTAGCCCAACTGAAAACTTAACATCACCCATAGCCAGGAAGTTGACATGAGGCACGAGTGCAGTGCAATGCTTTGCCACATCATCAAGTAGCATGGGACTATCTTCCGTTTTTGTTTTTTTGTTTTTTTTTTTTTAAAAAAAACCTCAGAAGTCAAACAGTGACTGCTGCTTGAAACACTAGGTGTATCCTGACGAATTAAATTGGTGAAACACATTTCCTCCACCATCAGATCTTAAAATGGAAAATTGAGCCGATGAAAACATGAGTGACACATTGACAGATGCTGTACATATTATTAGCAAGAACCCAAAACCATAACCGAATTTCATTCCAATCACCCACATCGAAGGTGAAGACAGTAAAAGTAGCATCAGGAATCATACAGACAAATATCAAAACAATTAACACCAGCTAAACTAGATGTGCAAAGGCGTCGCATATACCAATGTTTTGGGTAAACCATAGTCTCATCAATATAATTGAGTTCAGCACTGTACAAATCTCCAAACCGTGAGAACACACAAAGGAGCCAACGATAAAGCATTCAAATGTGTGTGTCAAGAACAAGATGATGCAGGCAGGTGTTTCATTGTTAAAAGATCTTATGGACATAGCAGGAGGAGCTTTAAAAAACGAACACCACAACATTAATTGAAGGCAATAGAAACTAAAGTCAGAGAAGCAGGAAATATTGCACTGTAGTTTGTCTCACTCTTGATCGAAGGAGGCTAACCCAGCTTCAAGATTTTGCTCACCACACCCAACGACAAAACTGATTTCTTGGCTTGTTCTTATTTTGTGTTGCATTCAAGATCAGAGATAATCCCTCCTAGAATCTTGACCGATCACACCCTTGAACTCATCAATGATACTCCCCCGTTCCGGTGACCTTCTTGCTACACTTGGCTCCAAGCCCCACATGTCCACTGTCATCATTGACAACAATGAACTTGACCGGCTCATGTTTGTTTCTGGACAGGCATGATCTTTATAACCCAAATTCATCTGAGATGATGATCTTTGGCAGCAGATCAAGAAGAACCTTGAGGCAGCAGCAGATTGGAGGTCTTCGACAAACTCAAGCAAGTCGGCAGAGCAAGTACAAGGAAATCGCTGGCAGGAATGTGAAAAGTGAAGTCGCCAATGACAAATATAAGGGACAGCAAGGAAGAATGGCTGATTGTAAACATGAAGGGAGGATAATCACAAAACAGCGTCAGACATCTCTATGAGGATGGCTGGATAGAAAGTTGACAATAAACGAACTAAGAATGCAGAAAGAAGATGTGGTTAAAATTGATAGTGGTTGAATTCTTCTTGTCGATTCCCATGGTTAGGGTTTACTTCAGCATGTCATTCTGCAACAAAAGGCTTTCGGAATCATCGATTTGTGAAGGAGATGCAAAGCACTGTTCTCACTGGTGATTGCTTCATCTAGATCCAAGAAACTCAGCGTTCTGCACAAGCCAGAAAACCCAAAATCTCATCTGCTGAATTCTTGAAGATTCGTGGATCCAGCTTCTTGATTACCCGGTCCAATTTCTTGAATAGCCGAACAAAATCTTTAACTCACTTGAGGTCTTGAAAATCAACGTTTGGAGAAACTACTTAGGCCCAAATCACAGCCTACTCTTGATACCATGTTGAGAAAACGATGAAGTGAGTACTGATAGAATATTCATGAATGGAAATGATACAATATGGCAATGAAATTGATCCTTCACTTGAAGGATTTACCGCACTAATCTACCTACTTGTGTGATTCTCAAACCCCATTTTTGGGACTAACTTGAGGTGAAGGCCTATGTTCACTTCCCTCTTGAAGGTGGGATGAAACCCCTTTACTCAACACAATGATATGATCCCTTTATATAGATTTAGGGACATCAACTAACTAGGTGATTAACATTAATCACCCCTAATATTCCAACAAGAGTAAGCAGAAATTTAAAACACACCCATCTGCAGTTTGATATCCATGAATTTAGAAATGTCGGTCAGTATTATCAATTCATCCATCATAAGTGTTCAGAACTCACAGCATACTGCCTGTACTTTATTCTTTTGTCTGCTAGACTGAACATTTTCTGAAAACCAGCGGACAGATGAACCCATATAAAACTGTTATAGAAATTGTTTTGGCCGAATAAGACTTCATTCAAAAATCAAACGTTATGACTGCAAGAGACCGGATCTTGTCAAGACAAGAATAAGCTGTGAAAGTTCTTAAAAAATTAATGGCACTATTACTGGATTAATTATTTGTGCGAAAACTTCAAGATAATCATATCATTGTAACAGTGCCCTGGCCGCCGGGCCTAAACACCCTCCCCCCCCCCAAAAAAAAAAAAAAACAAAGAAAGAATAAATCTACTTTTTAAACGGTTGGTTTGAAACTTTGTACTTCTCAGTTGCATTGCACGAATTTACAATACATTTAAGCGAAAGGTTAATGTAATCGGCCAAGAGGGATAGAATTGGAATCGCCCGGGTTTACTTTCGGGACCAAATACCCTGATCTCTTTTCTCTTTTTCAAGACTGAATGTAGAGATGCAAATTAAGGGCAGTAATATAATGGTACGTGGGAGGATTGAAGACAATAATCATGGTGAAATTTACCACACGCAAGTTAATGCTCAGCGTGGACAGCTTATGCTTAAGGTTGACAAATGTTATTTATGGTCATAAATTTTAATAAGAATTATCCTTGAAAAAAAGTACTCTTATATTATGCAACCGCTCTAACATCCAATTCGACATGTCAAGGATCAAATTTTAGAACAAACAGCCAATTTATCAAATTAAACCCAAAATTAGCAGACAAAAGCAATCTTGACTAGTGTAGAGGAGGACTTCACCTGAAACCTGCAAATATAGTAATCATCGCCCATCAAGAATCTCATGCTCTCAAGCGGTTTCCTTCTCGGGTTCCTGGGGCTGAAAGCCACGCTCAAGTTGACCAATGCCTTGACACGGTCGGGCCTGAATAAGCAGAAATACCAAGCCATGACGGCGCCGAAGTCATGACCCACCAAAAATACCTGTTCAATGCCCAGGGCATCGAGAAGTCCATCGATGTCGCCGACAATATGTAAGGCGGAATAGGAAGTAGAAGCGGGCGGGGCGTCAGTATCACCGTAGCCACGAAGGTCAGGCGCGATAGCCCGGTAGCCGAGAGAGGCGAGTGAGAGGAGCTGGTGACGCCAGCTATACCAGAGCTCAGGGAAGCCGTGAAGCAAAAGAACTGCTGGGCCTGATCCTATTGACGCCAAGTGCATTTTGATCCCATTCGTTATCACACTGGTGTGCTCTATCTTCTCCATCTTCACACCCCGATTTGTTCTTCGCTTTCCCTCACCCTCCTAGTAGATGAATGCAGCATTTAAAAATGAAGACGGTGCTTTGATTCCTCCCCATGGAGGCACGCATATATAATAATAATAATAATAATAATAATAATAATAATAATAATAATAATCCTAAATATTGTACTTAATTAAGCTGATAAACATTCATTTTTGACGGATCACAAAATTTATTTTCATCAAGGAAAAAACTTCAAAGGATTTATACATAAATCACAAAATTTTAAACGATAAATATTAATTTTTAAATTTATGTTTTTACACATAATTTTAATTTTAATTTTAAAATGTACTTACACATTAAGCACCTAAGAAGCGAGGAAAAAATATAATCGTAGAAAAATTAATATTTGTTGCATTAAAAAAAGAGAAATTAATATTCAATCTTTATCTGTATTTTTAAATGTACTTACAGTACATCTTAAGCACCTACAAAGGAAAAAAATATAATCCTAGAAAAATTAATATTTAATCTTAATCTGTATAAATGAGTCCAATGTAAAGGATCAAATGTAGACGCTTGAGCACTTGCATGGCTTTATCCGTTGCGAACTTATGTAAGAAATATTTGTTAATAATTAATCATTAATGTATACTGAATCTAATTTTCATTGGCCTAAAAAGCAGAGGAAGTGATCCAAGTAAAGCCAGTACAAGTGTGCTACTTTACTTGGATAGGATTAGGATAGAGAATTTTGCGGTAATTAATTTTTTTGTACGGGCCTGTAATGTTTTCGAGAATTTCTGCAAAATTAAGCGTTGAACGAGAAAACAGTCAAATGGCCTGGTTTCAAGGAATTGACAAGAGGCAAGGCGAACGCATCTCTCCCCTCACCCCCTTGGAACCTATTTCAACCCTTTGGCCTCGGATACATTCATGAAATTACCAAGTACATTGTGTATTAAAAAAATTTAAACACACACAAGGAAAGCGACGCCAAAAACAAGATCAAAATGAAACGCATTTCATATTGCGTGTTAGTGCTGGTTATTTGCCTCATAACCGTGCCTCGTCAAACAGAAGGCTTAGGGGGGAGAAAAGGGCAGCAGAACGTGACCGAGGTAATTGAGCAGGTATGTGGGAAGACAGATTCGAAGGAGGTTTGTGTGAAAACGTTAAAAGCTGACCCATTGGTGCGTGGGCGTGCAAATGTGACGGCGAAGGACCTGGCAATATCGTTTCTGAGAATGGCATCAAAGAATGCGACGGGGGTGATATATGAACTGAAGGTGCTGATGGAAAACGACAGGTTGGGTCCTCAAGTTCAACAGGGCCTATCAGATTGCAGGGACATGTTGTCGGATGCAGCAGATCAGATCGAGATTGCGCTTTCTGCAATCTCGGCGAATGCTACATATAATACTAAGGAGTGGCTCCAGGTTGCCACGGATGCCACAGAACTCTGCAAGGCCTCCCTCGAAGGCAATGAGCAAGTCATGCTGACCAAGGCCAATGGATTCTACGATTTATGCGTCATTGCCAGCGGCATTTGCAGCCAACTCTAGATCTCATGCTACTACCTCTCCTTCTTTGCAAATTTATTCTACCTTGATTGCTGTTGACGGCACCTTTCAGCGTTTTCTTCAATTCCTGGAATTGCCCCGCTTAGGTGTTAGAGCTTACAGAGCAGAGATCATCTACGGTTCACACACACACGTTACACTTACATTTTTTGTTTCATAAAATAGCTAAATACATATGCATTGGTTGCTTATCTAAAACATCAAGCCTCATCGTGTCCAATAATGTTAATAGCACAAGACAGCTCTGGAAGCTTAAATAAGGAAGACGGAGCAAGCTGAAATGCGCACCTGTTACACATAGAACTACTGGTGTGCGTGCGTGCATAAGGAAACGGATCTTCCCCTTGAAAGTAAAATATTCGTATTTCTTCCAGTCCTTTCCCTGAGAGCCATCTTCTCTGAAGTTGCAAAAACAGGGTCAATTTTGTGGCTGGCAAATGTTAAAAAATGGGGGTGATTTGCTTGTGCTTTTCAAAAAAAATTAAATATCATTACCAACAAAAAGTTCACCATCGATCAAGCATGGATTATTTGTTCACTCGTTCCTGATCTGCACGGTGCCTTTATGAATGATGTTACCGGTGCTTTGATATGCTCTGGATCAGATCAGCGTATTCAAATGTTTATATATGAACTATATATATATATATATATATTAATTTCATATTTTTAACATACAAATGGTTGAGGAAGTTCGGGGTTAATGAAGTCACTGTTGTAAGCGACGCCAGTGAGGGGCAACCAGTAATCCCCAGACAAGAGGTTGAATACGGTGAAATCAGCAGCAGCAGAAGAGTTAATCACATGATAACCTGCCCATGTGACCCGGTGGGAGGTGTCGGAGCCCGGCCCCCTATTCTTATACTCCGCATAATACAAGCGGTTCAACTCACTCTCCTTATCATCATCGTTCCAGACGTGCCACCCAGCCCCATCTATCATACAGTCTATGTAGCTCTCCATGTAAACCGTCCTCGAAAATGGCTTCCACGGCCTTCCTAGGTAAGTCGCTGCCCCCTCCAGATCCTCTGCTGCTCTGATCGTGCAGTTCTGTATTGAGAAACCCGTACTTTGATCGCCCCCGACACGACTCTGCCGTGATGGCGTTGAACTGTTGCTTCATAGGCTTGCGAGGATAAATGTTGCAGTTCTGGAACACGGCCGCGGCATTCCCGCATATGAAATCCACCGTGCCGTATATGTCGCATTCTCTGTAGAACTGATTCATGGCATGCGCGTAGAGTGTGTCCTGGTATCCCTCGAAACTGCAACTATAAAACAAGGACATGTTTGCCGAGTTTCGGACTGCCACTGCCCGGTGCTTCTCCGGCCCTGCTGTGTTACAGAATGTTATATTAACTCCCACAAATCCGTTGCCGTGCACAGCTGCATGCATTCACAATCTTCACGTTAATTAAGAAAGAACAAAAATCACGATGGCATTTTATATGTGGGTGTGTTTGAATCAATTACTGAATGTTGCAGATCTGAAGGATTGCCATCCATCTCCATAATTGCGGCTGCCTGTGATGATAGTCTTGTTGATACCATCTCCTATCATCATCAAGTAGGTCTTTTCCTTATCGATAAAGACATATTCTTCACAAACACCGGCCGTGACATAGATCAAGAAGTAGCCATTGGAAGAAAAAGAGTTGTTGGGAGCTCCAGAAAGGGCATCGCTGATGGTGGTGAAGTTACCTCTTCCGTCTTTACTCACCGTCACAATGTCCTTCACGCGTGCCATGTGGCGACCTGCAGTTGTCGGGTCTAGTTTTCTCCCACTAGCAGCCTCGAAGATAGCACGTGTTCTGTTCGACATGGCAAGAGGCAAATGACCATTTCTGAGTGCAACTTGCACTTGGGAAGGCTGGTGCCACGATAATGCAGATTTCTGTTCAACCCAACCCTTTGTAAAAAGGGATAAAGAGACTCCATAAAGCTTCTTATCATCAGAAAGTGGGAAAGACAGCCCTCTTACGTGGCCCGGATGAGAAGAAGCAGCAGTGTCTTGAAGGCCATCCAAGCAGGTTTCCTGGTTGGTTAAAACAGCACTGAGCATGGTTTGAACACTTTTAACTTCGATATTCGATAGAAACCCAGCCGTCTTATTCAAGGTTTGCAAGGAAGTTGAGAGAAAATCAATGTTCAGGTCTGCAAGCGTCCGGCAATCTTCGAGGTCAGCGAGGGCTACGACGGACAAAGAAGAGCGCCGTTGGAGTAGTTGGTCTACAGAGTTGAAGAATTTGCGGGCCCGCGACGAGGACCGGAGGAGAGAGAAGCGACAAGAGTCATGGACAGTAGCGTTTTGGGGAGGAAGCAGAGATATGCAGTAAGAAGGTTCGGGGGTATGCTGGCACAGAGTTGCAGGAGAGAGAGATTCTGCAAAAGCTAGTGGAGGAAAGAGTAGAAGGAGAACGACGAAGGCCATTGTTAGAAGAATATTGGAGGCCATATCGCGGTGGACTTGGTAGTATGTAAAGGAAGGTGGGTTGATGAGTTTACATTTTAGAAAGTGAGGAAGAAGAGGACAAACCGGCGGTTACTACATTGGCCAGTCTCTGAGCTGTTACCCACGCAAGTGAAGACAATCTTCTTAATGGCATGAATCCCCGGGTGTGATTTTCAAGGTTTAGTTTCCAGAATGGCTTCCCATCTCTTTCCTTTTTACTGAGAGATCCGCGTTGTAGCAAGTGCCAGTCTGTTCTCTAATTTCCTTTTGTTTCCTTCCCTACCCTGTTGGGATTTCCTTCCTTATTTCCAAATTTGTACTTTCTTTGTTTTTGTTTTTGTTTTTGTTTTTGTTTTTGTTTTTGTTTTTTGTTTTTACTTCTTTATGCGCATACTTTTCTCCCTGTGGTCGGTCGATTGATTATCTGAGATGGAGACCGGAAGGTTTATTTTTTTCATCTTTCGGATTCTTTGATGAATAATGTCATTAATTTGAAATACTTCTGCCCATAACACGTCATGTAAAGGTGTGTCGCTAAAGCAGTATTAAAACAAGTAATTATCCTTTTTATTCATTTCATACTCAGCAATTTGGATATATATATATATATATATATATATATAATCCATGCTTCATTTTTAGAGTAAAAGAAGAGTGACCTAATGCCATTTACGTACACTTTACTTTCTTTTTCCTTTTATTCCAACTCATCAAATACAAAATCTAATTAATATAGCGATTTCATGGTTAAAATTATCGGAGTTACGACTCCTCATATCAATGCAAATATATACACAGGGGGTGCCTTGTTGGATTTTTTAAAAAAGCTTCATTCTCGTAATATCTCCAGCGAAAAGATAGACGGTCAATATACTATATTATATAAATATATATACATATATATTCAGAACTAGAGTAATCCCGTGTGCGTGGTTTAAACAAAAACACACACACACACACAAACACACACGTACACACACAAAACCTAGCGAATAGTGACATCAATGCTCAGTTGAAAATAATTATTATTGCGCAGTGCCGCAGTGCACGAAGAATGTTTCAAGTCATTGTAAATTTTTATATTATCAAAACCATTAAGCTAAAATAAGGAATCTCAATTAACTTTAAATGCATATTAGTGTATGATTACTCCTTATTCTGTGTTATAATTATGATTTCCTATTCTTGCTTTTATAAAGAGAACTAAGTGGATGGTATATATGGATTTAATGACATATTTTTAAGGAAATGGTTTGAGATTTTTTGTAACATCCCAATTTAAATTTTAATAGTTAATTTGGGTTAATAGAAATTTTAAAAAATATTTAGAGGTAAATAAATTAGTAGGAAATGATCATTAAATCTAACTTAGGATATAATTTTAAATTAAATTTTTTAAAAAAAATTAATTAAAAAAATTATTATTAATTAATTAATTAAAAAATATTATTAAATTATTATTATAAAAAAAAGGTATGCCAAAAAAAAAGAAGAGAAGAAGAAAAAGAGAATTGCTTTCAGCCGCATCAATAGTAATATAAAATAATAAAAAAAGGAGAGAGAAAAGAAAAAATAATAATAAAAAAAAGATATGGGACCCACTGAATTTTTATAAAAACTCACCCGTTTCCTTTCATTTCTTCAATTCTTTTCCTGCGCGCGAGCTGAGGCAGAGAGAAGCGAGTTGCCGGTGCGAAATATCTAAATTTTTAAGGTAAGAGTTTTTAATAGGATATTTAGGATGTGATTTTAAGCTTTTCAAGACTAAGTAAGTGTTCTAAAAAATTTTCTTAGTCATCCTTCTTCTTTGGTTTCTGAGTTTATAGTGGTAGAAAATTTAAGATCTGGAAGAGGGATGAATTTATATTGAATAAATATGATTTTTGAGGTTGTCAGTAGTATAATAAATGTTCTAGAGTATAAATTTGTTGATGATCTTTGAATTTGTGACTTATGGATCAAATTCTAAACTAGATCTGAAAATATATGTTGATTTATTGAGGTTTAGATGATTATTTGGGATGAAAAATGAATTATTATGGTTATAGGATTATGATTCCAAGCTAGAGACTCAATTTTTAATTTTTGGATATTTTAGGTACGAATTTATGAAATAAAAAGAAAATTTTGATGATAGAAATTAGTTTAGAAGTTAATTTTTAGATTATTAATGTTTATTGATAATTAAAAGAGGAGTTAAAAATTTTACTCAATAGTATTAACTATAGATTTGTATTAATATTGAGATTAGGAATTATGTTATATTTTTAATTCTATTATTAGAATTATTTTATTAGTTTTAAAAATTGAAACTAATATTTATAAATAATATGTTATTTGTAGATTGTATTACTGGTGAAGATTGTGGTGAGAGATAAATTTTAAGAAATAATTTATTGAAAAAGCTACAAGGTAACCATGCTTTTAATTTGTGATTAGTGTTACTTCATGTTAATTGGGTGATTATTGAGAAATTTATGAATTTTGTAATATTGTATAATTGTGCAATATTATTATGAATTTGTTTAATTATTGTGGGAGGTGTTAGGAGACTTGCTATTAGTGTTGTATTTATGTGCCACGTGGTACGCCCCTATTGAAGCTCAATAGGTGGTTTGTAAGAGCTCGGGCTAATCCACCTTTGGCCGGGTAATTTAGCACCGAGTGAGGGCTACGGCTCGAGGTTAATGGAGGAATATAAAGATGGTTGTTTGTGTGTATTGTAATATTTCTTATATTTGTTAGAATTATATTATTTTTAATTCTCACTTAGTAAGCACATACTTAACTGTTTGTATACACTATCATAAATTGGCTTTGGTTACTGGGACTTTTGAGTCTCATTATGTGGTTAACAATTTTTAGGAGAAGAGCCACGAGTGACACGTGGAGGAGTCCCAGAGGCTTAGTGGTATAGATCCATTGTCTCTTTTGGGTATTTAATTTATGATTTATAATGTGTTATATTGCCAATATTAGGGCTTTTTGTTTATTGTCAATTATATAAATATATAAATGTAATCATGCCTTTCAAACTATTTCTATTTTTGATACAATTTGGATAACTGTAATTTTAATATTTGGTTTACTTTGGATTGGTTAAAATGGCATGATTATAAGGCCAAATAACTGACTTGTGTTGAAAATTGACTAAATTGCTTATTTTACTTGTTGGGAGTATAAGGATGGACAAATGTGATTTAGCCTAATGGCATGTGGGAGGTAAAAATTTATCTGAAATGTTATAATGTGTGAGTTGAAGTCAATTGTAAAATATTTTATATTAAAATTATTGATATAAAAATTTGTTGGGTGACTGTAACCCAACTATGGTTGAGTTAAATTATTTAAAAAAAATTTGGTATGTTACATTTTTGAAATTCAAGTAAGTAAATATTCCACCGATAAATGTTGATTTTTTTATAGATTGAGCATGAAAAGCTTAAATAAGAAAGAGAAGGGAACTTATAATAAGTTGTCTATAATGCTAGGGCACGGGTGAAAATGCCATAGCACTACCGGAAATGTAACACATGATCGCTCTCTTGTGCCGCAACACCACAGTGGGAGTGCCACGTCATATGTCAGAAACTCAAAATGCTAAGTTTCATTTTCTAAGTGAAGACCCCTATTTAAGTTCAATTTTCTGGAGGAGAGTAGCCATCTTCGACGCTTGAACCTGAAGGAAATCGTAGGAGAGCAAATTTTAGAGTATCGGAGCTTGGGATCAAAGAAGAAGTGGAGAAATATCATCAAAATCAGTGTTTCATTAGCTTTTCTTTTTCTTCTTTCTATGTTTAGGCATCTTTATCAGCTACTTGTAGCTGAATTCCTTTGTTTGAGAATTATGAACCTGTTTGTATAAATAATTCTTTGTTTTACCATTTGATTATTGATAAAGGATGTTTTAATTATTTGTTCTTGTGCTTTTTTATTTTTCTTTAGTATTTGACCACCACTAAATAAAACTTGAGCATTATGGGTTAATTCGAAGAGGAGACCTAAATTGGACTTTAGGAATTAGTAGCACATGACTAGCTTAGCTAATTTTTCTACTAGAATATGAATATATCTAGTGAACCTAGCTAGGTAATTCTCATGGGCTTTGTTCTCTAATGCTGTTAGCTAACTAAGGAAAAAAATTGCTTTAATCGAGTTAATTAGGATCTTTGATAATTGGGAGATACTTTTTGATCGTTTTAGATTCATGCATTATCAAAACAATTAAAATAATGAACAGAAAATTATGAAACAATTAGATGATTATGACTCTATAACACTCTCAAATTAGGTTTTTAAAGACACACTTAAAATTTACCTGCTTAACTTGTATAAAATCATTATATTAAGGAGCTGTTTGGTTGGGGAGACCTTCCCTCCAAAAACTTCCCCCCAAATTGAGGGGATTCACCCCTCTCCTCCCATCACCTCCTCTCCTCCTACTACTCCCCCTCCCTACCCTCACCTCCCCTCTATCCCCTTCCCTCATCTCCCTCCCTCTCCCCTCAAATCAAACACAACTTAAATGTTTAATATTATTTCGTGATAACATTTTATGGAAAGACCTTGACTTGCCATCATACAAAGCCTTGGCTCCATGTAAAAACACTGAAAAATTTTGTTCGTGCATATATATCGTTTTAAAGTTTGAATTTCGATTCAAATCAATGATTAATGTTATTAATAAAAATTTAAAATTGAACACATTCTGATTACAGTTGATTTCTTCATAATTGAGTATATTTTCATATCCTATGTAATTAGACCAATCACTTTTTTTTTTTTTTATCACATAGATGATAGACCGATCACGTCTTGTCGTTATTGTGATTATTTATCGACTGTGTTTTCCTATTTTGTGTTCATTCGAAGTTTAGAACCTATTTTTTTATCCGAAAAAAAAACGTTTAGAAGCTATTACTTTATCCGATGAAATTGCATATTCCTTATTTTATTCAAAGATTTATATTTAGCGGGAATAGAAAAAAGCTAAGGGAAAATGACAATTTAAAACTCTATGAGAATATGAATAACAAAAATAAACTTTGAATTATTAAAATATCAATAATAGATGATGGTCTTTACTTACAATGAATTATCTTTTGCTAATTAACTTGAAATTCATAACAAATTTTAGCTAATTCACTGCTAACGTTATTATCAGCTATCATTTGTTGATTTTCTAAACGATAGCAGAAAATTATAAGTAACTGCTTGTGATTTATAACTGATTTTTGTAAATTTTTAACTAACATTGCAATTCATTCCAACTAAATTTAATAGATATTTTAAGTGCTTCATCTAAATATTAACATTAAAAAAGTCACAAGTGATTAGCTTGTGATCCAAAACTCACTCTCATAAATTCTCAATTAACATTACAAATAATCTTAAGTGTATTTACTTAATTTTTCATGTATTTTATTTGTACATTGATAGTAAAAAATTGAGATTCACAATTAATTCTTAAAAATTTTCAGTTGATGTTACAAATAATTTTAAGTGTATCTAGTAGATTTTTCAATTGACTATTTATATTTTTTAATTGCAAATAAAAACTATAATTTTTTATTGAGATTTCAACAATTCAGAGTTTGTAATTGTTATTAATATTCTCATGGGATCCCTAATTGTCATTTTTTCATAAGCTAATGAAGTTTGGCCAAAAAAAGAACAAGCTAAAGATAGACGAGAAATTAAAATAGTATCCGTAAATAATTGAAATAATGACGATTAGTGTTACTAAAGAGGAAAAAAATCATTCGTAATTTTATTTCATTTTTGGCAAACTCTTCCTTAATCTTAGCAACATTAACAAGTCAGCTGTAATTCATATCAGGGCTAATAAAAAAAAGCGTCAAGGACTGGAACCGTGGACAGAGTTGCATGTCAAAAAGTTCCTCATAAAAATTCTGAATATTTTGTTCCTGCATGTATAGAGTCTAGAGTCTCACCTGCGCGTGTGCGCGTGCACAGAGTCTCACCTAAAACAATATTCATATAAACATTTTATTAAGTTGGATCTGCAGTTTGGGAGGCTTGCTTCCAATACTCAAATGTCACTTTTTTATGGTCGATGTCCTGCTCAATTATTACTTCAAAAACCAGTTACATATTGACTGGATATTACTAATTTGTGAAGCTTTAATATTGACCCTCGAACATAGAGGCTATATAGAGACCAATATCAATACTTGGACAAAGTTGGTTCTCTGCAATATTGTGTGCACTTAGAGTCAGATTCCTGAACAAAATATATAAATGTATGCATAGAAGTAATTTTTTTACCCCCTATATTTTTTAAAAAATTAATTAATTACGCCACATGAAATTAGTTCATAATTATAAAAAATTCAAATAGTAATTTAGAAGTAGACACGTGCTTGTGCATGCACTCAAGTGCAAATGCAATAGGCGCGCGGGCGCGGTAATAATTGAAGGGTGAATAATATAATATGCAACGTGGGAACATAAATAATCATATCGAGAAGATATATAAAGGTCTGTGCGCTCATATTACATCAATGTGTTATATATGCATGTGTGGGGGGCAAGAGTAATAAATAAACACGACAGCCAAATAGAATTTATTGTATTGTTCATGAATTTGAATGATATTGTTGTGATGCAGGAACGGTACAGCCCTGTAGCAGAGGCGAGAGGCGTCTAGGACGTAAAGCCGCCAGAGTATGGAACCCCGGTTTGAGGCAGCCAAGCATCCCCCGTCAAGAAGTTGGACACCGTGAAATTAGCTGCATCCGTGGCATTGATGACGTGGTAACCTGGCCACGTCACCCTGTTGCTCGTGTCAGCACCCGGCCCACTGTTGTTGTACTCTGCGTAGTACAACGTGCTCAAGGCAAAGTCCCCGCTCCACGCCCGCCAACCAGCAGGATCGATCAAGCTGTCCATCCGTGACTCCATAAACACGGTTCTCGAGTACTCCTTCCACGGCCTTCCCAGGTACGTCTTCACCGACCCTACCGACGGAGCCAAATCGTCGGCTGCTTTTATGGTTGCGTTCTGTACGGACGTGCCCGTGTTCTGATTGGGGTCCGTTCGACCCTGAGCCGTGATCGCATTAAACTGACCGCTCATCGGAAGCCGAGGATACAAGTTGCAATTTTGAAGAATCACGGCTGCGTTCCCGAATATGAAGTCCACGGTGCCGTATATGTCACATTCTCTGTAGAATTGCCTTAGAGAATGTGTGTACAGAGTGTCTTGGTACCCTTCAAAGCTGCAGCTGTAGAACGTGGACATGTCCGCCCCGCTTCTCATCGCAACGGCTTGATGCTTGCTCGGCCCCGCCGTGTTTCGGAATGTAATGTTCACCGCCACGAATCCTTCTGCTACTACGGCTGCAAATAACATCAACATTTCACATCGACAAGTGTAAGTAATCCCCCGTTAAAACATATGTGTAAACACGCAAGCTCCAAGTTTTGCATGATTTAATTACCAAACGTCGCTGAGTTGAATGTTGTGAAACCGTCGACGACATTGCGGTCGCCAGTGATGATTGTGCGGTTGATGCCTTCTCCCACTAACATCAAGTACTTTTTGTTTTTGGGTATGGATACGTATTCTTGGTACACACCCTCGGTGATGAATATCAAGAAGTAACCATTGCCTGAAGCTGTGTTGTTTGGGGCAGAATTTATGGCGTCGGTTATGGTGGTGAAGTTTCCGCTTCCATCCTGACTGACAACCACGATGTCGGTAACCAGCACGCTGTCGTCATCGGACTGGAGCAGTTTTCTGCCGTGGCGTCTTGCGGAGTCGAAAATGGCCTTTACTCGGGGTGACATTTTCAACGGCAAATGACCATTTCGAAACTCCAAGTGTCTCCCATTGCGTGGCCATGATGTTATGATTTTCTTCTCGGGTGCCCAACCTTTGGTGAACAGAGAAAGAGACACGCTGTAAATCTCGGTGTCGTCAGCGAGCGAGGAAGAAAGATCGTCCTTTACTCTTCGATCCGAAGCTGTGGTGTCTAGGCCATCCTGACAAGTTTGCTGGTTGGTCAGAACGGCACTAAAGAGGGTTTCGAGGTCTTCGGCTCTAGAGGAAGAAAGAAAATCATTAAGATTTTTCACAGCGTCCAGGGTGTTGGATAAGTACTCGAAGTTTAGCTCAGCGAGGAAGCGACAATCCTCGAGAGCCCGAATGGTGGACTGAGACAGAGAGGATGGAGATTTCAGATGGGAATCCACCAGGTTCAAGAATCTACGAGACTGGGATAAGGACTTCCGAAGAAGTATGCGGCCAAAGTCAAAGACGTTGCCCTTTTGATTACCGAGCACGGTTTTGCAGAGGGAAGGGTGCATGGTGGAGTCACAAGCTGTGTCTGGTGGGATTATGAGGGAGGCCACCGGGTTATCTGCTAGAGATAACCATGCAAAGAAGGAAAGCAGAAGGAAAACGGGGCATGTAAAAGTAAGAGACAAGAGCATGGAAGCCATTGGGATCTAGAGATGAGAGGGATATCTTAGTTGTGATGGGCTTGCAATGGCTAGTTTCGTCGTGGTATATATGGGGGTCGGGAAGGAGGGGAAGATTATTTAATACGTCTCGTTAATTTTGTCACGTTGGCACAATTGATCTTAAAGCCTACGTGACTCCCACGAACGCAGTCAACAGCTCCAACCTGCCATTATAAATTAAAATGTTGGTTGATAATATATATTTTGCTTTATTCCTTTGATTTAAATTTTTGTATTTTTTACTTAATTAATTGCGTTATAAGATTAGTTTTGGGAATGGCATGCTGTTATTTAGATATCCAATTGCCAATTGCCATGTAATTTTAATTAGTTCGTCAAAGGTGTTATTGGTTCCCTGCGTTCACAAAATTCAACCATACAAGACAGAAGGAAAAAAGTAAAATAAGTGGTGATTAATTGCTATTATAGTACTAACAAAGATAATTGTGATGCATTGTCAGGCCAATATGGACAAGGAAGACAAGAATTAATCGGGTCAAAACTTGAAATTAAACGAGCCTAATAAAGAGAAGCCACGTTGACTGAGCTTTAATTCTATATGTGTGTGTGTGATTAGTCAATTTAATTTTTGAATGAAGTGATAATGTAGCCGATCTTAAATTAGTCCAGTACAATAATTTAAGTTGTTAGTCCAGTTGAGATTTGATTTAGGGGTGAAATGAATTGAATGGTCTGTAAACGATTCAAATCCTTCAGTCTTACTTTAAATTAGAGCTTCATGGATGTATAAAGTGATCAAGCGATGTAGACTTACAATTACAATTAATCAAGCCTACTTGCCTTATTATATTATATTGCAGATATGGATGAGCGGATTAGATTACTTTGCGTATTCAACTTTTGGCAGCGGGTAAGAAAGCGAAATGTGAACACTTTCTAGTCTTCCAGGGATAGGTTGCATGCATCATACATATATTCTTGAGCCGATGTCGAAGAACATAATATTTTAGAATTTAGTTCAATTTAGTAGCATGTATCGGAGCAGGCAATAATGTGAGAACATAGATGTGTGTGTGTGTGTGTGTACTTTGGATGTTCTCGTCAAGATGGACAGGATGATTGAAAACGACGTATAATATAGGATAAGCAAATCCAATACAAAGGAATATTGAAGCAAACCAGAAAACAAAAACAATGGGATCTGGTAATGGTCCCCTAACAAAACGGCGTGTTCAGTGATAACGATGGCACTTATATAAACATTACTTAAAAAAATTATATATATATATATATATATTCCTTGTGAGTTGCGCAATACACTACTATACTATGTTTAATTTAGATATTCTTCGCAGCTACCTTGTGAACAAAGATATTGAACAAGTAATGAAGGGCAGCCTTTTCTGCAGTGGTGTAGATTGGAATTGACCAAATCCGGGATATGCATTCGATCGCCACAGCTTTATGAGTGCATTTTGCATCGAAGAATATTTGGAATTGTAAGCAAACTTAACTGGCATAATTATATTTAACACATGATGATCAATTAACCCCTCCAAATCACAATATTTGTCATTGTTAATTAATTCATTATTTATGAAAATTATTAGTTGGAACCTTATTTTTTTTAAAATGTCCACATTTTTTAATTTATATTTAATTTATGTTCTTGAATTTTTCTAGTAACACTTGCATATAATCTTTAAATATGGAGCATTTAATGACAAGGAATTGAAAGAAATAAGGGTATATAAATGAGGAAAATACATAAAATTTACTCAATATCTTATATTTTAAATTAAAAAATAATTTTAAAAAGCGACTGATATTGTGATTCAAGGGAGTAAGCAATCAGCTAACTATTCCACATTGTCTAGTCCAGTAGTTGCGTTTAATATTAAACATAGCAGCATATTAGGTGGCGAAAAGAAAAAAGGCAATGAAGCTGGATCCACCGTAGGTGTGTATAGGAAATTAGTAGTCATGGATATATGAGTCCCCGTCGAGTTGTAATTAACCACCAAATCTTTATTTTCGCTCCACGTTTCGATCGAAGTTTCTTCTTTTGGATGTTTCGTTGAAGGTTCTGATGAGAGCATCGTAAATGATTGCTGGACGATCAATGCATTTGACATTGATGATCTACGATATTAAAGTCAGCATCCAGCCTGTAGAAAGCTGAACAAAAGACTACTATTCAAATTTTAATCACGACCACGCAAAGTCCTAGCAATTTCTGAGGGCATACTTACGGGGAAAAAAGAATGCATACACAGCTCCATCAAAACACACCTTTTTTTTTTTTCGGTGGGTGGGGGGGGGGGGGTGACAAATATTGCGGCCTAGATGGTATATATACTATAGCTAGTACATGATATCTGTTTCTTTTGCATGTACAAAAGTGAGAATCGGACTTAATTTTTATGGGTTTGGCTTTTAAAAGTTTAAGTTTTAAAGTTTGATTATTTAAAATTTAATTAAATTTTAAAGCCCGGTTTTTATTTATAAAGTTCAAGACTTGGCCCTTAAGCCTTCTTTTCTAAAAAAAAATCTAACATTTTAATTTAAATAAAATATTTTAAAATTCAACATAAAATAAATTAAAATCTCAGATAAAATTTAACATAAAATTAGTCAAAGATTTAAAATTTTAAATTTAAGATGAAGATTACAATCTTCTTTAATGTAAATCTAAACCTTTTTTATCATCATGTAAAAATAAAATATTAAATTGCTCAAATGTAGGTCTACTTATTAAAGATAGAAGTGAAGATTTAATATTAATTATTTCTACAACTTCTTTATCATCACTTACAATAAATATTAATCAAATCTTATTATTATTAGCCAAATATATGAATGTGTATGTGTGTGTGTGAGATAATTCAGTTTATTAGGGCTTGAAAGGCCAAGCTTTGGCCATTTTTCATAGAGTTTATCAAAGTCAGGCTCTCAAATTCAATCACTTTAAAAAAATTACATTAATTTAGTTTGTGTTTCAGATGACACGCCCTTGCCTCAAAGTATGACATTTTTCTTTAAAAAAATTATACTTTTAATTACAAATTATGTTTTCTTATTTGCTTTATATATAAAAAATAAAAATTATATAGTAAAATATACTCCCTTCATTAAAAAATATAAAATATTTTTTGAGGAATTAGATATTAAAAAATATAAGGCATTTTTAGTTTTTTCAAAATGTAATTATTACTTTTTTTAAGTGTCTTTATTGATGAATAATTTTATATTTATTGTAGGGTATTTAATAGAAATAAATATAAAAAATAAAGTTAGTTTAAAAATAAGTAAGGTGAGGTTTGAATAAAAATATTTTATATTTTAAAAAAAAAAAAGAATAACAAATATTAATTTTTTTGGGCAGACGTGGCCATCGCGACCTCCTCTATGAAAGAGTGATCAGGTCACATCCGGGAGCAACAATAAATTAATAAAAATATCTTCATCAATAAAAGTCGGTGCAACTGGGTAAAAAAAGAACAAGACTCGCGTGTCAAAAACTGGACTCTTCATTTGCAGCTAAACTATTAAATATTTCAATTAGCATTCTTTTAAGCTTAACTTTAAGAAACATAATTTTTTTTGATCCAGTTATCAGACATAATAAATTATATAAGTTTACAAAATACTTATGATTAAGAAGAGCCGTATGGTAGTTGTAGAAGGAAAGGATGGATTTTGGAGCAATTGTGCCGTTAGGTGTTTGTTTAAAAACCGGGAAACAGCACGTTTCGGAATCTCCACATGAAATTCAACTAAATTTTTTTAAACACGAGGCATCAAACAATCGGAGATGTCCTGATTCCTGAAACGAGGAAAACGAATAGGAGATGACGATGATAGGGAGTCGTCCTCATGGTCTGTACCCCTAGGAAACAAAGATCTTCGTCGGTGATGTCCTCACGCCCCATCTACCAAACATGCCCATCCTCCAGCGTGCAGGCCCCACAAGAAGGAAAACAAATGAAAGTAAGGAAAATGGGATAATTAATATAATGACAATATCTATATATAAACGAAACGAGGTCATTCATTAATGGACAGATAATAGATGGGTAGGGGATTGTCAATTTTAGCAACTTTCTTCACGTTGCCCTCTCTCTCCGTCTCACTCTGCCACGGTCACTTTACTTTAATGGACACGTCACTTGAATTTCTATATCCTCTCCATCTCGCGGAATCAAACAAATGAAGGCCCAAAACAAACAACAGCTACGCTCAGCTTCTCTGGGTTAGCATAAGATGCAACGCTTTTTTCTTTTCTTTTTTTAGATAGAAGGGAAATATCATTAATCAAACTGTACAAAATACAAACAGGCAAACAATAGAAGCCTGAAAAAGAAAGCTCTGCAAGCAAAACAAAGAAGACAACGTCCGTACGTAATTTGAAGGTAGAGGAAGTTTTAAAAGTGTGGTCCACGAGAGCTCTAACGTCACCTAAGAGCCTATCAGCAGTGGAAGTTTCTCCAGCAAAGATGCGAAGATTTCTACCTTCCCACAGTTTCCAACAGAGTAGGCTCACCCCAACCTTCCAGGAATTATGATCAATGAGGGAATTCCACAATACTTTTAATAACCAGGTTCTTAAATTCTTCCCCTAAAACTCACGCACGCATATCCAGCGTCAAAACTTTACGCCAGATATGAGCAGCAGCTAAATTGCATTCCTTGAATACATGATCAAAGGTTTCAACTGACCAATTAACAAGCTTTTGCTAGCGCTCGCGTGTAATTACAAAACAAAAGCGCACACTAAATTAGCCAGCTGCTATCTTGAGTGGGTACAGTGATAGATGTCTAAAACTTGGGCTTTCATGAAAAATTAAATAACTACTAATTAATTAAAGAATAAATGCAATAAAGGCTTTCTTTTCCCTTCTCCATATAGTCCTTTCCCCCCTCTGTACTAGCGGTGAAACGAGCTCATCATCTGCCAATTATATTAAGCGTTGAACCACTTCATCTGGCCGTTCGCGTTAGTCCCTTCCACGTGCTGCATTTGGTGAAGGGAAAATCACTCTCGATGTCATGAAATCACAAAATTATCATGAAGTCTCATGCTTTCATAGAATTTTCAATTTATTATATTAAAGTTGACAATTACTGTTGAATAATTGTTAGCAGGTTGTTCAGTGGACAACTAAGGAATAATATTTATCAAACTATCTAGCACAAATTGACTAAATGATATGTGGAAATCCATGTTAATTTTGTAATTTCATGGCACTTTTCTACATTTAGGTTATTTGTATGGGATTCGGATTTCAGAATGATTTTATTCCCTCTGGTTTATGCCAGCCGAAGGCACTCAATTGGCCAGGGGGCATGAGTTCTACATGGAGAGGCAGGGGACAAGAGGGAGGGCGGACGGCTTATCTCTGAGTAAAGGAGATACGCGATGTAACACCAAACTGGAGGTTGCCCCTGTGACTACAAGGCATCATTTGTGGAGAATTCACGCTTCATACTGCATAATTTGGCGTCAAAAGGTAATGACGTTAGGAATAGGGCAGGGGATTATGAACGCATGGGTGTTCTGGTCCTGTTCATATGTGATGGACCCTCGAACCACCACTCCCTTTGTATATTGGTCCACACTTTCATGTGCTCCCTCACCCTCTTGACCCTTTTAAAGCTACATGTACCCACTTCGTTGGAATAAAAATCATCAGCAAACCCTGTCGCCCTCCAACCTCTTCTGCTTTTGCCTCTTTCTAGCCCAATTCTGAGATTATTCAAGGACCTCTTAACCAACCATTGATAGTTACTTGTGTAGTTTAGAGACTACTGATAGATGAAGTCATGGTCTCAACTGCCAACATTTTGTCATGCAGGATTCGAGACTTTTATTTTCACAAACCGTGTTGCTGCAGGAAATTTTGATAACTGGAGTGGAGACTATGTCACGAATTCTGAATGTCTCGTGGACGCGTAAATATAATTTTTCGATTCTAATATCAGATCCACCGTACAACCTTTGCGGTTTACGAGCTTTCTGTTTCTACGTTATGTTGTTTATAACTTTCTTCATTCATTAATTGCATTTTTCAATTTTCTCTTGCTAGAATATGGAATAAAGAAGGAAGGTGCAGAATTATCTTTTCGCGCACTCTGCCCGCATGAGACCAAATTCAGGATAACAGAAAGCCATCGGTGAAGGCTTTAGTCCTTTTGTCTCCCTCATAAAAGGAGCATCAATAATATAGCTCGCTAATTTGAGTTATAATTCATGGTAGACTATCACTCACTGTGATTAATAATAAGAACGGTGACAGAAAAGAAACTGTTGTAAGTCATTACATAAGAGACAAGTACCGCACTACTTAATCGTCCGTTAAAAAAAAAATGAAATTGTAATGTCCATACTCCATAGTGTGCCCGTGAAAGTGAGATCTGCAATGAATGTCGGCGAACGTCCCCCCAACTTGATTGATTAATAATTTAATATAGCAAGTTCCTATGCTTAGAGTGATTGATTGTACAAAACTACAAATCCAAGTAGCACACTTTAGTTAAAGTATCAAGTATCAAGCATAAATTCAACAGTGAAGACGCCTCTATTTATCCACGGTATTCACACAAACACTCGTCTTCTCGCTGGTGGCAGCATTTTCCATGTCCACCATGCACCCCCTCAACCTCAAGAGAGGAACACTCTCCCTGGCCCTTGTTTCCCTTGCTTCTCTGCTCTTACTCCTCGTCAAAGCAACAAAACCACAAGATATAATGCACCTACATTTCCAGAAACACCTTCAAGTAGCTCACTCCACCTGCCAAGGAACTCTCTACCCTCACCTCTGTGCCTCCACACTTGCTTCCTTCCCGGATCTTCCCTCTAAATCTGTTCCCCAGCTCATCTGCTCCCTCGTCAACCACACCATGTACGAGGTCAGATCCTCATCCTCCAACTGCACCGGTCTCAGAAGAAAGCTCAGAAATCTAAGCCCACTTCAGCAGAGAGCTCTCGATGACTGCCTCCAACTGTTTGATCACACCGAGGACGAGTTCAAAACCAGCATTGCCGATCTCTCCCAGACACAGATCGATTCCAAGCGCTACCACGACTTGCAGACTCTGCTCAGCGGCGCAATGACCAACGTTTACACGTGCCTCGACGGCTTCGCCGACGGTGACCCCAATGGGAAAGTGAGACGCACCATCCAGGACGGCTTGTACCGGATTTGCCACCACGTTAGTAACTCCCTGGCCATGCTCAAGAAAGTGAAGGGGGTGAAGAAACCGTCACCGTCTGAGGCATTCCCGGAGTCGTACGGCAAAATGAAGCATGGCTTCCCATCCTGGCTCACCTCCAAAGACAGAAGGCTTCTTCAAGGTACTGTCAATGAAACCAAGTTCGATCTAGTGGTGGCTAAAGACGGCTCCGGCAATTTCACCACTATTGGGGAAGCAGTGGCTGCGGCCCCCAACTCCACAAAAACCAGGCACCTACCTAACCACTACCCTTATCCAGTTACTTGAATTTAAGTCTCTCATGTGATGATGCTGGAACTTAATTTAATTTTGCGGGCGTTTATTATTATTATTATATAAATCAATGTGATGTAATGTTGTAGGTTTGTGATACACATAAAAGCTGGGGCATACTTCGAGAACGTGGAGGTGATCAGGAAGAAGACTAATCTGATGTTCGTTGGAGATGGCATTGGGAAGACGATAGTGAAAGCCGGTAGAAACGTCGTGGACGGGTGGACCACCTTTCAATCCGCTACTGTAGGTGCGCTTCCAATCTCCTATTCTCCATTCTCACCTTTTATACGTCAAATAATACTCACTTTATCATTAGCTACGCAACTAATTTACATAAATTAATAAAATTAGTTAACTTAATTCTTTATTTTATAAAACACTTAGTTATTCATTGAAAATATGTTTATTTTTTAAAATATCCCTCTTTAAAAATTACCTCTACTAATTATACACAAGCAACTAGTAGAAATAGTTTGACAAAAAATAATAAATGTAGAAAATGAAACATTATAAACATTTTAAAAATCAAAGCGTTATCTAACTCTTACTCCTGTAATTTAGAGGGAAGATACTCTGTCATAAGTCTTTAAAATGTTAAAAAGACACTGGATTGGCAAACGATATTCCTAGATATTGGTAAACAGACGTAATAATGACAAACCATTTCAGACGGATCAGACATCCGTACAAAACATCACGGGCTGCACAGGGTTTGTCGACGAATAGTTCGACTTTGAGAGCCGTGAAGATTTTCACTAACACCGCTTGTTTACGTGAGTATATGTATGGAAGTAAGATCAGAAACTTAAATATGATTCCAATTTTTAATGTAGCAACTAGCTGCGTTTCTGTTAAAGGGCTTTGGATCCACCAATTCACCCTTGGGTTAGATATGATCCCAGTCCCACCCTCATGATTTGAGAAGAAAACCAATTAATAATCACATGGGAAGCAAATGTCAAATGCTGACTATTCAACGACAATTATTGTGTTGAAGACGCCATGGAGATTCGTCTGAGCCATATAAAATAATATTTTCTTGAGAGACTCTGGAACACAACTTGGTCTTAAATCTTAGAAGGGCAAGAGCCTTGAAAGATTTCCGATGAGTAAGGTTTCGTGAATATAAGGTGTGGTGCGTGGGTCAGTTTACAGTTGGACGGCACGTACCAACCTTATCTCCTGTTCAAACGAAACTTATACTGTTTTGCTAAAGCCAGTTATTAGGCTAAATTAGGCGATTTCAAAATTGTTTTTAATTAATCGAGTGGTAATAATATTTCAAATTTTTCAGGATATTGACCGACGAAATTAAATATGTTTATATACACACACAAGTGATGAAGTGGCTGACGGTGGATACGGCATTCCTTAAATTTGAACTTGTACATATCACGTTTTTTGTCGACAATTTTTTGACCTAAAAAAAAAACAGAGAGAAATCGAACAAGAAACTAACCGTATTTATTTATTTAACTGCCGACGCTACAGTATGATTCGAAAGGGCAAAAATAAAATAATAGAAAACACGGTACCCAGACATCTTTGCGAGTATTGTACCATCGGAGATCCGAGAAAAGACAGCGAGTTTTGCACTTTCCTCACATTTGGTGTCGGTCGTGCTTTGATGGGTCAATAGCCTGGGCCCCTTTCCAACCCATCTAACTTTTCATGTTCATTAGATAAGGCCCATTCTGATCAATCTTGTCTTTTCCAAGTCATGCAGCACTGTCTCTCTTTTTCGTTGCCACTACAGTCAGGCCATTCTAAATTAGAAAGTGTATCAAGCTTTAACTCTGATGACATGGATTTTTATTTTTTATTTTTTTATTTTCCTTGCATGATAACGGTGGTGGGGTGTGTCACTTTTATTTTATGTTTTATCAGCGGTGGTAGGAGACGGGTTCATTGCGAAAGGGATAACCATAGAGAACTCGGCGGGGCCCAGCAAGCACCAAGCGGTGGCCCTCAGGAACGGCGCCGACCTATCCGCCTTCTATCAGTGCAGCTTTGTCGGCTACCAAGACACCCTCTACGCCCATTCCCTCCGTCAGTTCTACCGCGAATGCGACATCTACGGCACCGTCGACTTCATCTTCGGCAACGCCGCTGCCGTGCTCCAAAATTGTGGCCTGTACGCGCGCAAGCCAAACGACAAGCAGAAGAACCTGTTCACGGCTCAAGGCAGAGAGGACCCGAACCAGAACACAGGCATTTCCATAATCAGCTCCAAGGTGGCCGCCGCGTCGGACTTAATTCCGGTGAAGTCATCGTTCCAGTCGTATCTGGGGAGGCCGTGGAAGTTGTACTCGAGGACGGTGTACGTGGAATGCTTCATGGAGGATTTGATTGACCCTGCTGGATGGTTGGAATGGAACGGATCGTTCGCATTGGATACGCTGTATTACGGGGAGTACAAGAACAGGGGTCCAGGCTCCGATACGAGCAGGAGGGTGAAATGGAAAGGTTATAGAGTGATCAATTCCTCCGCAGAGGCTTCCCAGTTCACAGTTGCCCAGTTCATTCAGGGCCCTGACTGGTTGAACTCCACCGGCATTCCTTTCTTCCCTGATCTCAATTCCTGACATTGTCCTGTCCTCCTTCCACGGTCATGGAATGGGCCTCATGCTTCTGCTTTCTTTTCACCAGCCTCGCCATTCTCGTCATCTTTGAATTCTTCCCCGGCCACCCCAGAAGAAAAATGTCACGTGCTCCAACGGAATAATGTTCAATAATAATTCGACTCCTACGAGGACGAGGATTTAAAAAGCATCTAGTCCTCAATTATTAATTAACTAGATTTATTCTCGGGATATTTTAAAATTTTAAAAATAAAATATAAATTTAAAAATTTAAAAATAATAATTTATTTGAATGTATATACTTTTTATATTTTTGTAAATTAAAATTTATTAGGATAATAAAATTTTTAACCTCTTAAACTTGCTTCAACTATCAATTTATTCCGTAAGGTTTAATTTTAATCAATATGGTCGCTTCCATTTTCTTATTTGTTATGTGAAACTTATAAATTTTAAGAGACAAATTGATTCTCAAAATATTTTAATATGTAAAGTATATTAATAGCTTAGCATGTATACATAGCTAATTAAGAACAAATTAATTCTTAAATTAATTTAATTTTTATCAATATAATGTTTTGTTTTCTTATTTTTTTAACTTTTAAGGTTGTTTTTCCCTGCTTAAATAATTACACTTTTTTCATTAATATACATGACTCTTATCAATATTTTGTTTCTTACATCAACAAATTTTAATAGTTTAATCTCCTTTTTAAATCATAAGGACCAAATTGATAATTAAAATAAATTTAAGGAACTAAACTAATAAGTTAGAGAAACCTAAGGGATTAAAAGTTCTATTATCCCAAATTTATTTATTTTAAAAAATTTTTCTTCATACATATTAAAATATAAATAATAAATTTAAAAAATGTAAATAATAAATTATTTCATTTAAAAATATGTCATTTCTGTATAAATTAAATTCTAAATAAAAATTTTTATTTTGAATGCATTGCCCTTATACAAATTGAACGAATTATATAAACAATTTTTTAAAATAAAAAATGTATTATAATAAACCATGTACTATAATTTTCATCACAATATTATTAATAAATCACAATTATAATCAAAATTTAAAATAAATTTTTTTAATGAAATAATATTTTTAAATTAAGAAAATAACATATATAATCCATGTTGATATTATAGAATTGTTTATCAAACACATACACACGCGACAAGAAAAGCAGTTATTAGAGGAAGTTTATGAGACACGCAGTAGAAGATAAATTCATCAACATTATATAAAGTATATGATTACTGTACTTCCTGCAGGCTTTCAAGTCATATTTATATTTTTATATATTAAAAATAAATTAAATAATAGATTTTTTTACACATTAAAAATATAAACAATAACTTATTTCATTCATACATAAATTATTTTATAATTTTTACCCTAACAAATATAAAGAATAATTTGTTTTCAAGAATGTATCATTCCCACATAAATTAAAATTAATGCTTGTTCTATATTATAATTAAATATAATGTATTATTACCTGAAAAATATTAAAATTAAAGCCTGTTCTGTCTCACAATTTTTAATTTTGAAATTTGAAATTTATGTGTTATATATGCATAAATTAAAATTTTAACGAAAATAACATTCTAATTTAGAATTTACTAAGCCCTGTATGTATTAACAATATACACAACAAATTTTTATATTTTTAAAATTTTTTTACCCGGTGCACATCAAAAACATAAATTATATGTCACGTGCATATTAAAAAATATATAAATTTTTATAGCCTTATATTAAAAATATAAAAAATATTTATTGTTCTAGAATGTGTGTTTCCCCCATGTAAATTAAAATTATTATTTTTTATCCTATACATATAAAAATATAAAAAATAGATTATTTTATAATTTTTTTAATTTTATATTTTTATTTATAATTTACCATCTTGTGCATATAAACAATGCAAGCAACAAATTATTTTATTTAAAAGATGTTATTTTATGTAAATTAAATTTCAGAAAAAAAATCAGTGGATTGCATACTTACTTTTTTTACACTTTATCCAAATTAAATTTGCAACGTCATTACATGCTTCATACCTATCTTTTTGTAGGTATTAACAGTGGTTATCATATTAGAAAGCCTTCTTTTTAAAAACATGTATATTTATTTGGTAAAAAATATTGAAGTCAATTTCAGCCCCACTTTTAGATAAATTTTCATTTGTAGTCACCGCACTGTGGCGTGATTTCTTGATTCATTCATGCATATTGGTGTTGGAAAATTATGCTCCAGATATGATCAGATATTTGTAAACAACTTTTAACAGTTGAAAAGTAAACACATAGTATGAGCATAACAAATGGAAAATAATTTATTATTTGAGGATGTTATTATTTGTATTTTATTCTACAATTTTTTTACCTTCACAATTTATTATCTTATATACATGCAAAATGCAAACAACTAATAATGTCTCAAACCTGTCATTTTTAATATGAATCTCATCCCAACCATTTATCATAGGTTCCACGCTTCTTCTTTTTTTAATTTGCGGGTTCCACATGATTTTAAACCTACAAAAATTTTAAAAAAAGATTCTGTTATTGCTCAACTGTATGAAGGCTGTTCGCATTGGATAGCATCTACTTCCAGATCCCATTTTATTTGAGCAAAATAAAATGGGGCTGAAGCTTCAACAATATAGAGACTACAGTGCATCCAATAGGATATTGTCTAACAATATTGAAAAGATATTGAATTTAGATTTTATAAATATGCTTAATACGGGCATTGAATGTTTATCCTATTTAAATCATTAAAATTTAGATTAATAATTATAAATTTATATTTTACTTAAAATTAATAAATAAGTGAATTTATCTAAATTATTAATTTATATTTTAATAGTTTAAATAATATAGATATTAAATACATGTATCAAGTACAGTCACAGAATTTAAATTTAAAACTAATGGCTATGGATAGCAATTTTCCGTGCTCCATCCACTGAGTGGTGGACGCATACTGCCTAGTCGGGATCCGAAAAACGCGGGGACACAAAGAGGACGTGACAATGAACAGCAAGAGAAGCGAAGAGCTAATAATGATCTGAGAACACATAATTCAAGAATGAGCGTAAACGGTCACCTAACAACATTAAAACTACATGTGGCCATGTTTGGGCACTTGATTCCTACCCTCGCCTTTTCCTCGCTCTGTAGGTCGACTTTCGTTTTTCTAGTTTCGTTCGCTCTGTTTCCTCTTGTAGTCTCTCTGCATTTCAATGATTCCTGGCCTCTTGGGCTCTTCCCACAAGACAAATCTCATCTTGGTATCTCCCACTATCATTCCTCAACCTTATCTCCTGCCATCGTGCTTTGGGTCCTACTTGTTACTCTTTATCTGCCCACCCGGCCGCACTCTTCTTCCGTAATTTCACACTAACCCATACATGAACCAGCGCAGCCACATAATGCAATGTTGCATATATAAATGCGCAAGACACAATATTTCCACCATTTTGGGGAGGTAGATACACACAGCTTTCCTCCTCCTCGTGCTTGGTAGGCTCTTTTAATTACATGTTTACTATTCCACCAGACTGTATCTTATGCTAAAATTTAGTTTGAACCCGCGACAATTTTTTGAACTGAAAAGTTCTGCCGGCATTCTTGTGAAGAATGATGGTTTTTTATTTCTTTCAGGGGCAATAACCCACGGACGACTTTTTGGCAACACACATAAAACGGCCCTGAAGTTGAGCAAATGAAAATGTGACATCTCCTCTCGTCATTTCAAGTAATCAGTAAAGCTGTATATAAGAAGTGGGTTCAGGGGGACGTGCGTATGTACAAGAAATGCAACAGCAGGGAAGGAGCAGGAAAGAGACAGGAGAGAGGAATTGAAGATGGGAATAAATGGCGCCTGAGCCCTCAATGATACAAAGACAAGTGAGGATTAATTGCTTTGGATGGGAACCCCGAGTGACTAAGACACCGAGTGAGTATAGCTCATCCAAACGGGTCCTCCATTGGCTGGGCACGTGCCTTCACGAATATCACGGAGCCTCTGATTGAGCGAGTTATGGGTGAGCTTTGGGAGGAAGGGTTCCGACTTCAGTGGAAAAGTGTAGATGTGCAAACTCGTGAGTCGTGATCCCCTACTTTCTCCGTCAGTCTTTTAACTCATGACTCGTAATCACAACACATGTTCCTTTGTTCACAGACTCACGCTCAGACCGAGGGACCAGAAAATTTTATCAGGGTTGAAATGATAAAGCATATATTATAAATTAATAATTGTAAGAAAATTAAATATATATATATATATATATATATATATATATATATAAATATAAATATTTTAATTTTATATATATAACAAAAATAAATAATTATTTTTTAAATTTTGCTTATTAATTTTTTATAGCATAGGAATAATTAATTATCATACTATGATAAAAAAATTTAAAAGTTTCCTTCACTATCATACTTTGGTAAAGATTTCATCTTCCCTATAAATAATGGATAATTTGAATATATCATTGAGATCTAAAGTTTTATTCAATCTAAAAAACTTTATTACTTGCTTATTAAATTTATTGTTTAATTATTTTAATTAATAATTATAGTAAATAAATATATTAACACAAACTGAAAAAGGAATTATTATTTTTTAGAATAATATATCTTAACTACAACTACTTAACTTTTGAATAAGAGATTTCATGATAAATATCAAGCATATAGATTCAATATATTTTGACATTTTTGTTGTAATAAGTGACAAAGATTATTGATAATAATTCTCATAATTTATTTTATCAAATATAAAATGAAAGTAAGATTAAATGAAATCAATATTTTAAGAAAAACTATAACATTATCTTGTTAAAAATAAGTAGATTCTATAATACCTATATTTTTAAGCTACTAAAACAGTTGAATTATATATGTGTAAAAAATTATTATAGAATTAAAATAATAATTTCATCTAGTATCCCAAGATAAACTTCTACAATATGTCAATTTAAAGAGTTAAAAATATACTTCTTCCATTTTCATTTATAAGGTACATTTTAAAATGTCTATTTAAATTCATTTATAAGTCATGTTATATTTTCTTAAGTAATATTTAAAAAATATTTTTAAAATTATTTTTCATAAAAAATAATATAATATTATTTTTTAAATTTATTATATAAACACATATTTAAAATGCTAAACACTTTTATTTTTTTATATTTTTTATATTAGTATCAATGAAATTGGTGAAAATAATTTGTGAATAAAGGAGCATAATTCATATATTTTATTAAAAAAGTTAAAAAGTTATGGGGTGCTCCTGTTGAGTCAAACTGACACGCAGCAACTATTGCCTCACAGTCCTATTCGTTATGGCCAACCAGTTTTCTAGAGCTACTTCCTAAGAGCTTGGGGCCCTGTTTAAATAGCGCTGACATTCTCATCACGAGGAGCATGGTGTACTACTCATTGTGATGGATTTGAATCGTTTCAATTTAATTAAGATGGTCTATACTTCTATTTAAATACTGTATCTAATTAAAATAAGATATTACCATTAGTAGTATATTAAAATTCACATTAAATCTCAATCACCCCACTTTAATATGGATGCATGCCTGTTCATAGGGCTGTACAAAAGTCTTCCAGTCTTGTCTGGTCCAGTCCAACCCGAGATGGTCTCAGTCTTGTTCGGTCTGTATAGTCACTAGTCTTTCAGGACCAAAAAGATTAAAAAGACCAGACTATTTTTTCGGGTTGGACTGGACAAGAGACCAGGCATCTGGACCACTTGGTCCAGTCCAGTCCTATTAATTTTTTTATTATAATTATAATTAATTTATTTTTGACAAATGTTTAAAGTGTAATTGATGCTAAGGAGATGATTGTATAAAGATTTATTAAGTTTGTTTCTAAATTGTTATTGTAATATAGTGTTGTTGAATTTTGTTGAGTACTGTTTTTGTTAAAGTTATAAATTTAAATAATTTAGACTATAACAGAAATATTTTTTTTCTTATTGTTAGAAATTATTATGGATTTATTATTATTATAAGTGTTTTTACTATCTTAATTGAGTTTATTATGTTGAAATGGATTATTGCCTCTCATAGAATAAAAAGAAGGAAAAAAAGCTAAGTGAGTACTGGACTGACAGGACCAGTCTCCCAGTCCTATGGACCAAGTCCGGTCCTGTTAATCTTCGGGTTATCACTGGACAAGATTAGACTACGGGTTGCCTAACCCAATCTTTTTCATGAAAGAGACCGGACTTTGAGTTAGGGTAAAGTCCAGTGCCGTCTTGTCTTTTGTGCAGCCCTACCTGTTCATTATAGTTATTTATTGTGGATTGCAAAATGTCGCAAAAGCGAGAATACGGACTCTGTGCCCGTGACCTGAATAAAAGGAGTGCTTTCCCTTTTATGTATCTTAGAGCATGTTTACATTAGTTTCAAACTCAAGTTAGAATAGATAGAATTGAAGGTAGAACTTAAAAAGCTTAAAAAATATTACTTGGATGAGCAAAAAATTCCAACTGAAGCTGCAGCATAAACAAGCATTTTTTCCCAAGCTATGATACATAGCTTCTCCATTCACGTTGGCGTTTAATGCTTTCTCTCGCTTATCATCTACTGACTTGAGCTCCAGCTTTGCTTCATTTGTTATTTTCTATTCATTTACTATTTTTATTTTCTATTCATTTATCTATCCACCCGAGCTCCACCATTAAATGCCAAAAAATATAAAACATTAACACTTATTTTTATTTTCTGTTCATTTATCATTTAGATTTTTCATCATGTCATTTTCCCTCAACTTTGTAAATTTATTTTATTTAAATTTAAGTTGTACAAAACTAGAGTGCATTTTTTTCTTGCAAAAAAGTCTTGCTTTCAATGAATATATATATATATAATAACTACTTGTGTATATATAACATAAAACTGAAATTGTATAAGACTTGATTTTTGAGTTTAATATTTTTTACTTATTAATTAATCAAAGAATATATATAAAAAAATTCATGTTTACTTTTGCTATTAAATATTTTAATTGAATTTTGAATTAAATTATTTAAATAAATTTTAATTTATTTAACTGACTTTAAAAAAAAAGATATCCAAACATAAATCATATAAAATTAACTGACTTATTTTCTAACTTCAATTTATTAACTTTAATTAAATTCTAACTTCAATTATAAATTTTTTAATTCAAACACACACTTAATCTTAGAACACTTCTTGCTCTTCGTGCTATTCCCTTAATTTGAAAAATTAACCGATCCATAGCCTACGGAGGAGGAACGTGCCTTTTAGTAGTTCTAAATCTATTTCCCATGATAGGAAAAAGGAAACCTATTACGATGCCCACAACGTATTCCAGAAATATTTGCCAATACTGATAGGTAGTTTTCACTCTAATTTTCAAGAGCATATTATAGGATATATGGTCTAATATTTTTCTTTTTCAAGAGCATTATCTCACTGTGTAATTGACTCGATTCAAGCTTGCGATTGAATTCCCATATGTGAAGACTACAGAGGTCAATTTAACAGCAGTGGCATTCAGTAGTTGGGGAAGAAAGAAAAGCAAGTTTCTTTTTTCGAAAGCCGAGTATCAAAATATCGAAAGTGGTTCCCTCTATTAGGATTTGACCAACGAAAATGGTGAAAGTTCTTTTAATGAGTTTTATAATAAAGGAAAGACTGTTAATTGAACTTGTCATCTGACCACCTCGCCCTGATTGGCTAATTAGTCAATATGCAGAGTGTTTTGCTCGGAAACGAGACAGCAAGCACGCCTTCAAACACACACAATAGATTAATTAAAGCCAACCCCCTGCGTGATAAATCAGGACGTGGACATAATCATAGTTATTGATTTAACGATACAAGACGTCGCAGAATCTGTGGCCTGATAGCATTTGCTTTATAAATAGAGTTTGAGAGATAGAAGAGGAAGTGCAACTTGCAGGCGTGGCAGATCAGTCGTTGGCTGGACAGTCCACAATGACTTTCTCCCTCTTCTTCGTCTTCCTCTTTGCCCTCTGTTCTGCTTCTCATGCCTTCCCACCCCACAACCACCATCGTCGTTCTGCCTCTCACAATTACACAGACGCCCTCTCCAAATCCGTCCTCTTTTTCGAAGGTCAGAGGTCCGGTAAGCTCCCTCCCGCCCAGAGGATGACATGGAGAGGGGACTCTGCTCTCTCAGACGGCTCTGCAATGCATGTATGTATATATACACACATCCCCTAGCCCCCTTTCTCATAACTTTGTGTTTTTTAGTGATTGGGGGGGGGGGGAAGTGAGCGGCATTTTCTCATTTGCGTGTGAAACTGCAATGCAGGTTGATTTGGTGGGAGGGTACTACGATGCAGGGGACAATGTCAAGTTCGGTTTTCCCATGGCATTCACAACCACCATGCTTTCCTGGAGTGTTATTGAGTTTGGTGGGCTCATGAAAGGGGAATTGCAGAATGCTAGAGAAGCGATTCGTTGGGCTACCGATTACCTCCTTAAGGCTACTGAACATCCAGACATCGTTTTTGTTCAGGTTAATGACTTTTCTCTCGGAACCCCCTCTTCATCACAATTGTCGTGTGTCATGATTTAGTGTTATCATAGTACGTACTAAGGTTGATTAGTTTGAGTTTGTAGGTGGGAGATGCGAGGAGTGATCACGCTTGTTGGGAGAGGCCGGAGGACATGGATACCCCAAGAAATGTGTACAAGATCGATGAGAACAACCCTGGTTCAGAAGTGGCGGCTGAAACTGCAGCCGCTCTAGCAGCTGCTTCTCTGGTTTTCAAAAAAAGTGACCCAGCTTACTCCAAAACTCTAGTCACTAGGGCTACAAGGGTATATGGCCCCTTGAAATGAAATGAAATGAAAAATCTCTCCTTGAACATGTTTATGTCTTTCCATTGTGAAAAAATTGAGGTTGTATCTGCTTGTGGGTACAGGTGTTTGAGTTTGCTGATAAATACAGGGGATCCTACAGCGATGGGCTGAAGCCCATTGTATGCCCTTTCTATTGCTCTTACTCTGGTTATCAGGTGAAGTTTCAGCTGTTCAATTTTTCCATTTGAGTTGTTACAGTGGAAGGTCAATTCAAAGGACGTCTTGGAAATATGGCAGGATGAGCTGTTATGGGGTGCTGCTTGGCTGCACAAGGCTACTCGGAAGCCCATGTACCTCGACTATATTCAAGCGAACGGGCAGTCACTTGGGGCTGCAGAGATTGATAACATGTTTGGGTGGGATAACAAGCACGTTGGGGCAAGGATGCTTCTTTCCAAGGTCCAATTATCGTCGCATTTCTTCTTTATGTTGAATATAGTTATGGTTTTGAACTCATATTTTTGAGCTTTGGAATCTAGGAGTTCCTGGTTCAGAAAGTAGAATCGCTCCATGACTACAAGGGTCACGCAGACAATTTCATATGTTCCATAATTCCCGGCACCTCTTTCTCGTCGTCCCAATATACCCCGGGTGAGGCCCCTAGTCCTTCTCAATCTTTTCCCGAGCACTCTCAGATGTCATTGCGTAACAGTTAGTTTTGGGCGTTGCTTTTAAGCAGGTGGGCTTTTATTCAAGATGAGTGACAGCAACATGCAGTATGTGACGTCCACTTCCTTCCTGCTCTTGACCTATGCCAAATACTTGACCTCTGCCCACATGTCTGTCAACTGTGGTGGAATCACCGTCACCCCAAAGACTCTTCGTACTATGGCCAGGAAACAGGTTCAAAGTCAAACCTCATTTATTGACTATTGTGACTCTGCTGGTAGTTTTTAGCTTTTACAGTTGTGAAGTTGAGATGGATTAATTTTTACTACTACACTGGTGATGATTGATGGTTGACGACTCGATATCGATGGGCAGGTTGATTACTTGCTGGGAGATAACCCCCTAAAGATGTCATACATGGTGGGGTACGGTCCAAATTACCCGCGAAGGATACACCACAGGGGCTCATCTCTACCGTCCATTGCAGCGCACCCTGGTAAGATCCAGTGCTCCGCAGGCTTCACTGCCATGAATTCACAGACCCCCAATCCGAACGTACTGGTGGGCGCAGTGGTGGGTGGACCGGACCTGCATGATAGCTTTCCAGATGAACGGTCAGATTATGAGCAGTCAGAACCAGCCACTTATACTAACGCGCCGCTTGTAGGTGCCCTGGCTTATCTGGCTCACTCATTCGGCCAACTATAGTGTATCCCCAGATTTTTATCACCAGTATTATCAATTTACCATAGTCATGTTTGTTTGCGTGGTGTTTCTCGGAATTTAAGGCTCGAGGTTAAGAGGGTACAAGTATAATATATGGCACAATCCCCGAACCGCGCAGCTCATTTATAGATTGTGGGAAACGCTTACTGTGTTAAGCTCTTGTTCTTTCTTTGCAAATCATCTTCAAGCTCAATCACCCGTAAAAGATCCGCGGTTGTCCAACTTTGAACTTCAGCATTTCCGGCGAATCATTTATTGTGGCTACTGGATAGAATGTGGCCCGTTGTGAATCAATCGTTGGTAACAAAGAGAAGCGAGTGTGTGGGGAAATGGGAATAAGCTAATGGTAATAATTACTCTATTGTTTTGTTTTTTGGGCGGGAGAAACGACAATTTGGCTTGAAGCGTTGAAATGATGAGAGAATATGTGGAGGGGGTGTGGTTTTTCTTTCTTTCTTTTTTTTTGTATTGCTTTTTTTTTTTCCTTAGGCTTCGTTGGGGAATGGTGATGGGACTACATGCGGTCCAAAAAGCTGCTTCGACTGTGGAAAGCCATTGGGTTGTGTCAGGCATGTGAGCAGTAGGAACGCAGGACCCTAAGCTATTCCTCCCATCAAGATTTTCTTTATTTATAAATTATATCATTAAATTTTTATCTTCATTTTATATATCCCATTAAATATTTAAAAAAAATATACTGTCAATATAGATATATATATTTTAATAATAGCTAAAATATATTTATAATCCTCCATTTTTTTATAATATTTTATTTTAATTTTTAAATTTTATAAAATATATTTTTAGCCTTTTTTTCTTTCATTATTAATTTTAAATAATTTTTTATATTGATAATTGCTATTTTAAAAAAATTAAATTAAATAAGTCAATGATTGAGAATATTTAATTAATATTTAAAAATTTAATATACTTTCTTTGATCTAAATTATAAGACATTTAATAGGTTTTGAAATTTTTTTTTTATTTTTTTAACAAATAAATTAAATAATAGAGATAATCAGAAAAGAGGTAAAAAGAAAAACTTCATATTTATACTTGAATAAAAGAATATAACTAAATTTTATTGGTATTTAAATTATAATTAAAAATATTTTATATTTTGAATTGAAGGAGTACGATTTTTGTGCTATGAAACTAATGATATTAAGAGTAAAAGATTAAAAATACACTTTTTAAAATTAAAAAATTAAAATAAAATTTTATATATAAAATTAGAGGATTGAAAGTATATTTTAACCTTTAACAAAAATAAAGTTAATAACTTATTAAATTTTTTAACAAAATTAATAAATTTTATTTTTTTAATTTTGATAAAATATTTTATATATGACTTATAGATAAGAATAGAAATATCTATGACAAAATTTCAGTGAAGGTCTCTTGATCAAATTTAATGAAAAAAATTCTTAAAATTTTTGAAATTTTACTACAAGTATCGGGTATTGAAGTGAAATTAAATTTATGATTAAAATAATAAAATTGCCCTCATTTAAATGAACAATATATTGTAGATAAGATAACTTATTCATTTATATACTGTATGTTGTTCATTTACTTACGAAATGTTATTAGTTACCCTACTTCACTTCTTTATAATACTACTTTCACTTGATTCCATTACAAGAGCCATAAACAAATAAAGTAGAAAAATGAATAATATTTTAAAAATAAATGAATAACAATATATAGCATGAAACGAACAAATCATCTTATCTATGATATGTTGTTCATTTATATGAGGGTAATTTTATTATTTTTATCACAAATTTAATTTCAATTCAATACTCAGTACTTCTAGTAAAATTTTATAAATTTTGAAGTTTTTTTTAATATTTTTAGTCAAGGGTTCCCCCTTGAAATTTTCCTACTATCTATTCATGTCTCCATTTAATTGCCAATGGAAAAGGGGGCAAGGAATCTCTCCATTTTTCCTCCCTCATTTCCCTAATCTCCACCATTTATTTGTTTTATTATTAAACAAAAAATTACTTAATAAAATAATTTAAATGGTGAGCATTGAAAAAATGAAGGGGAGATAATTGAGAGACCTCTCTCCCTTGAAAAATTGTGAATCTACTTTCTTCTCTGTTACTTGTTTTCCCCCATTTTTAATTATTTTCCCTTTAATCCCACAATCCTTCACCTGTATAAAAAAAGTAATAGAAAAGTTAAACATATAATTTTAACTCAATTATAATTTTTATCTTTGAATTTTAGTTCATTAAAACTCAATCATTATAATTTTAATCAAGTCATAACTCAATTCCTAAACTTTTTCGTTTATAATTTAATTTTTATAGTTTCAACCACTTAAATATTTGTTCTTATATTTTAAAATTTAAATATTTATAATATTTATAAAGATTAAAAAGGTTTATTAATTTAAAATATTAGTAATAAATTTTAACATAATCTTAATCTTTATAATTTTATTTTTTTAAGATATAGGGATCAATATTTAAGTGATTGAAACTATATGAACTAAATTACGAAAGTCAAAATTTAAGGATTGAATTATAACTGAGTCAAAATTTCAACGAGTGAGTTATAACAAGTCAAATTTTAAAAATTGAGTTACAATTAGGTCAAAACTATAGGGATGAAATGATTATTTTTTTCAAAAATAATTATTAATCATTTTTAATCTTATTCTTTGTAATTTTTTATAAATAGAATAAAAAAATTGTACATGAAAGAAAAAATATTTTTAAAATAATATATTTAATAGGAGTGAATTTAAACAATTGTTAATAATTCAATTATCTTTTCCAGATCACGGTGAGATTATTAGTAATAATGATGTCACTTTATATAAAAAATGAATATCTAATTATTTTCTTTCAATTCTATGCTTTACAACTTCTTCACATCAGTTTCATTTTATTTGTTGACTTTTCTATTAGGTTTTGATATTGATTTTTTAACTTTAACAAGATTTTAGACCTGATGCACGGGAACATTAATACACATCGTTTACGAGAAATAGATTACAGGAGAATGACAGCTAAATTTTATTAATTTTTTTTAAAAATAGGACAAGTAAAAATAACTACTCTCTTTGTAAAAAAATATAAGATATTTTTAGTATTTTAATGCGTAATCATTATTTTTTTTAAAGTACCTCAATTAATAATAACTTTATATTTATTGTAAGATGTTTAATATGGGTAAATATAAAAAGATAGGATTAGTTTGAAAGTAAGTAACTATTTTATTGGGATAAAATTCAGTTAAAAATATAAATAGAGGAAGTATATATTTTAATTTCTTTAGCAACTGATTAACTATATTTTCTTATTCCTAGTTCAATATAAGAATTTTGTTAGTTATTGGAATATACAAATGTAAATAATAGTTAATTTTTATTTTCACACACTTTGTTTTAGAATATATCAAAATATATGACTAACATTTTATTTGGAAAAATAAATGATATTTTTAGTCGAATCTCATTTCCTAATAAAATAATTAATTATCTTCAAATTAATACTATCTTTTTATATTTATTATTATTTAATAGGGTATTTTATTTTAAATTAAATATAAAATTATTTATCTATCATGAAAACTTTGGATAAAAAGTAAATTAATTATACTTTAAAATACTTAAAGGTAAAATTAAAATTTTAAAAATATAAAACATGAAATATAAATTTAATTTTAATTGATATTATTAAAATTAATTTTTTAAAACAACTTTAATTTATAAAAAAAATAATTGCATCGGATGCCATGATTGACGCAAATTAAAAAGGATGGAGGATGATATTATAATACTCTCCTCATCTCAAATTGAGATATCTTTAAATAAAAAACACACGTATTAATAAAATTTATTAAATATAATTTACATTCTTATTTTTTAATAAAAAATGTAAACTTTAAAAAATAATCTCCATTTAATACTTTATTTATAAAAGAATGTTAAAGATAGAGAATACATGAAAAGAGTAATATTAAAAAAATATTATTAATAAAATCTTATTTTTGTTAAAGTGTTTTATATTTTGAAATGTTTAATCTCTTTCAAAAGCATTTTATAATTTGAAATGGAAACAATAATAATTTCTAACACTACATATTGATAATTGAAAACATGGATTACAAAAATAAATTCGTTTTAAATGTTCAACATTATGAACTCATCTTCCATAATAAACGTAGTAACATTTTCCTGAAAAAGTTGGTGATGTTATGAAGTTAAGCAAGTAGAAAAAATAATATTGGGAGAAAGCAGAGAATAGAGAAGGAGATTTTTTTTTTATAGATTATTGTATCTTTTAATATAAATAACATGCCATATTTATAAATTAGGATGCACGGATATTGATACGGGTATCAAATATGATACGTATATGATGCACTGATACTTTTATTTTTAAAAATATAGGATGCGATATATGCATATATATTTATAAAAAATTATAAAATCATTACAAATATAATTTCAATTCAGAAAATATTCAAATGCATATATAGTCCTTTATAGTAATACTAAGAAAAACATAATCATTATTTATACCTTTATTCAATTTATACCTAATTACTTACCACCTAGTCTTCATTAATAAGTATGGTATTAATATCTTCTCCCCTTGACTATCCTTTGTAAAAAAGATAGCTTTTATATGTGGGTCATCGAGAGATAAATTTGTCACTCCAGAAATTATAGTAACATCAAGATCATCTCACTCATCTCCATTAATGTCTCACATCTTAGACTTGCCTTGTTTATATTTTTCACTTTTCATAGTCATGAGTCGCGAATTAGTATGGGCATAAACCAAGTTTTATACCCTTTTAGGATTAAACTTGTTTCTTTTCATTGAATTAATGAATGAGTAGGAACTTCAATTCCTTTCACAATATGATGAAGAGCATAGCTCCATAAGAAGCTTAAAAGCAAACTTTTGAAATAGAGGAGTTGAAGAATCATGCATCACCCACCAAAATTTTGAATCCAATGTTCATCTATTTTTAATAGAGTCAAAAGAAGTATCAACTCGTAACTTTAAAATATCAGATATATATTAAAAATTAAATTTTTTAAAATAAAAAAAATAATATTTTGACACTTTATGAATACATATTGAAAAAGTATCATCAAGTATCGATATCGGATATGATATCGATATGAATACGTGATGTAATTTGAATTATTGGTATATTACAGTACATAAATGATAAAGGCAATTAAAAGATAATTTTCTAAAAAAGTTTCTTGAGAGAAAACGAAGAGGAAGATGAAGAGACGAGAAAGATGAATATTCACTGCTTTTTTAATATTCATAACAGTAAGATATTATTGGCCAACTACTGCCACACAACCGGAGGTTAAAAGAAAAAAAAAACTACAATCTGATAAACCGATACTCAGCGTTTTAGACATTCAAACCAAACAACTTTGTTTCCCTCAAGACCATCATTCTCTGTAGTCAGCGGCTGATGACTTCTTCACCTCGTTAATTAGCATCATCCTTTGCCATAGGAACAGATCTTGCCTGCAAGAAGATAAAGACCGCAAAATTGACTTCAATCTCACCAGCCTCCATTTCACTTTCAATTTTAAGATGATCAATCAAATTAACACCATATCATCGTCCTAATTATTACTTCCTAGCAAGTGTGCAGACGAAATCACTCACCAGATCGCGAAACTTGAGGATGTAGAACATCTCCAAATATCTTCGAGTCTCGCGCCTCTCCAGCTTGGACACGTACTTCCAGAAACTATAAACTCCGGCCAATGTCATAAGCCTTTCGGAATAGATCTTCCACGTATACCTGTATATGTTTTCGTCTTGTAATGAGTGTAACACCACGAATTACCTATCAGTTTTAAAGAAAAGAAAATCACGTACCTTGCATAAATTCTCTGAAGTCCACCGTCGGATATTTTATTCCAATGGCTTGGGTCGGCCTTGCATCGTTGGAAGAAATCAACTAACAACTCGGAAGCTTGGTCGGGGTGGTAAGGATCAATATGGAATCCTGATATGCCATGCTCGATGATCTCAGCAGGACCGCCATGGCAAGTAGCAAAAGTGGGCAACCCACAAGTCATTGACTCCACTACTGTAAGTCCAAAAGCTTCATAGAAAGCAGGCTGAAGCAAGAGAGGAAACAGCAGTTGACATTCATGTTCACATGGTCAATCATCAGTCAGTGAAGAGATATTGACATTTATATATGGTACCTGAACAAAGGCACCTCCTGTGTCCGCTACATAGCGATACAACTCACCATTGCGCGCTCTATTTGTCTGGGCAGCTATCCACCGGAAATCACCATATAATTTATATTGTTTGATGAGATCATGCATCTTCTGGATTTCTGCGATTTCTTCCCTGTCGCTTGACTTCTTTACATCAATAAAGCCAGCTACCACAACGAGGTTGACCTGTTCCCTCAATTTGCTGCTCTTACCAAATGCCTCTACCAAACCAGTCATGTTTTTCACTCGATCTAGCCTTGCCATGGAGAAAAGTATGGGCTTTGTCCTATCTTTCAGTATACCACTGCCACAAACATCAAAAGCATAACAAACTTTTCAGCTAAATGCGATCAGTTACTGTTACTGATCTTGCCAGAGTGCAATATGAAAGAACGAGAGGCGCTTCTCAATTATTTTTGCAACTGCTTTTGATATTCTTTTTTGCGCCCCCCCCCTTTTTTTGGGTACAAGGAATAGATTTTGTCCCTAGCATAAAATATTTCTTTTGAACACTGAAAGCAATAATATATCTCTTCCAACTATATTGTTACATACACAAGGCTTGACTCTTGAGGTTTGGACCCCTAATTAACCACTTTCTAGAAGTACTTAAATTTAGTTAATTGTACCTAACGATTGAGATGTCCCGCGATGAAGGACATGTGGCGATTGAAACCCAAAGAACCATATGCAAACATGGATAATGGAATAGAGAAAGTTGTGAAAATGAAATAGACTTACATGCATTCATCAGTATTCTCGGGATCATATAACATTTTTTCGATGGAACCGTGCAGGGCTGTAAGTCTGTTCTGCTTTTCAGAATAGGGGAAGTATATGCTCATATCCGCTCCAGGAGAGACAATATTGAATTTGGGATCAAAAACATCAATGCCGTGGACAACCCTGTAGAGTCCGGGAAGGGTAAATGCAGTGTGGCTCTCATATTGGCCAACGGTATTCTTCCTGAAACAGAGTATGCAAGTCAGAAAAATGTCTTTAGCTACATTAGGAAGGAAGGATGATTTTTTCTTTTTTTTTAATAGAACAGAAGAACAGATGATTTTCTCCTGACATATAAATAAGCATGAGACTACAAGACAAGGAAAGGATGAAAATTGAAGAGGTCATATAATTGAATGTAATAAATAACAAGGAGAAACTTATAAAGCAATAGGTGTTAGCTCAAGTGAACCTTGAAAAATAACGAGTCCACCGTATCACAATAAAGATACTTACGTCCCTGCAATCTCCTGGTATGTACTGGTGATGATAAAATCAGCATTATTCATGGCTATTAAGTCTGCAGTGAATTGGCATGAAAAATGGTACTTCTCCTCAAAATTCTTCCAATATATACCTGAATCTGGATATTTTGTCTTCTCCAGTGCATGTGCAATCGTACACTAAAAATACCAACATTTTAAACCGATGAGTCACATTCTCAATAGATGATAAAATGAACTATGCATTTTCAATAGCAAATTAGACAACATACTAAGAACGACAAGATACCTGAGCAACTCCCATCTTGTAAGCTAGTAGAGAGGCAACGAGATTCCCGTCGCTATAATTTCCGATGATGAAATCAGGTTGGCCCTGTAACTCAGCAACAATTTCACTGGCAACATCCTACAACACATATAACCATCAACATAAAAACATAAGGGATGAATTTGGATTAAATTGCCTAACTACAAAAGCTCATCTCCATCCATGAACAAAATTTTAAGGGCACATTTATACCAAAAAATTAGTTCATAATCATGGAATTTTTCATTCCATAAGTATTACAAGACATTTACCTCTGCAAAAGTCTCCAGATAAGGCCAAACATCAAACCTTGAAATCCATTTACGGAGAATTCCATTCTCTGATCTGAAAGGGACTCGCAAAATATGAGTATGTTCAGTACCACAAACTCTTTCTAGCCGCTGGTTGCATGTTGTGCCTTTTGCATCAGGTATCAATCTGGTAACCTTTTAGAAAAGCGCAAAGAATTGTAGCTTCAATTAAAATTTAGAAGAGCTTTCTAAATTAAAAAATTTGATCCCAGAATATACACTTACAATCAGAATTCTAGGAGTGACATCCAGTCCTTGCTTCTGGATTCTAAGAAGCATCTCATTCTCAAGAGCACGCACTTGATCCAGAATATAAACAACCTGCAGATTAAAACCTTTTACGGTGGATGGTGCTGTTACATGATAAATAACTATGCGGGAGCGAGATACAAAATATGAAAAATGACTAACAAATTTGAAAGGTTAAGAGGGAGCAATGAACAATATTTACAAATATCACATGTTATGCAGTGATGGTATATGGGAAAATAACAAGACTATACCTGGCCACCAGTGTCAGGTAAACCCAAGACATTGGCTTGCCCAAAGTAGCCATGAGGAGATAATATAACAACGTTAAACACCATAGGCACTCTCCCAAGAAAAGTCTCGAGTGTAGAAGGATCAGGTGCTTGAAGAATGTCTGAGAGCAGATGCATCATCTCGGATACTCGTTTAGCAGTATCACCCCAACCTTTCTCAAAACCCATTCCTTGCAATCTGGACACAGAGCAAGAGCTCAGAAATGAAAACATGCAGGCACAGCACTAGGCAACAGAGGGTAGATAAAGTAAATGCAGGCACAAAAGGTAAGCTTACACATATTCGAACTCAGAATAGTGCGTATCAAGAGCAAACTTAGAAAGGTAATCTTCAGCCTTGGACAAGGCTGACTGGAGTTTGGCTATGTTTTGAATACGGTCGTTTAACATAAGTGCCTGCACCATAATTATCAGGGAAGAAAATGAAAGACAGTCACCAATCCACATTCTATAAATTCCTCGCACCAATGCGAAATAACAATATAATTTACTATAACAAAAAGCTTTAGTATAACCACTTGAACAAAGGTAAACTTTGCAGAACAGAGGAAGTGGACTCACATGCCCTTTGTACGTGTGAGCTCGGAGGAAATTAAGAAGTGGCTCCATAGAATCTCTGTTGTGAAACATTATAGAAGAAAGGTGACGGTTGAGGAACTGAACACCATTGCCAATGGATGAAGAGCGGGTCGGACGGGGAAATGTTGCATTGAAAGGCTCAAAATCAAGCTCCAATACAATATGGTTATTAATCCTAATAATTGGCATGAGATAAAAAGCAAGCAATCATTAATTGTATAATTCGCAGTCAGGAAAGATGAGGAAGTAGTAACTCAAATGGATTCCATACCTTTCATCTGCAAGATCTTCCTTGAAGCGAAGATATTCGGAAACGGTCAGTTGCTCAACGCTGAGTTCGAAAACATTAACACGGACATATTCCCAAACACCAGGTCTTGGACGAACTGCTATTGCCACAAAAGGAGGCGAAACTATTGCATCCTGTCACAAAAACGATGTTACACATTTTCAGTGTTTAACTTGCTCGTTGCCACATTAGCAAAAGTTATTACTGGTATGATAATAGGTCAATTTACCTGTGCGGACTTGAGGATTTCACAAAACTGGCTATCTTTCAGCTCCGGCGATGCTTGGTCTTCTCTAATAATGTTTTCAAGCTCATCAATCAAGTTATGGGGTTGCAAGATACCTTTCCCTTGTCCCAGATACCTTTAAACGCAATGTCGACGACCATAAATAAATTTGAAATAGCCATAAACTACACTCTTCTCCCACCCAAAAAAAATAATTAAAAAGCCAATTTGTGACAGTTAACAAAACCGGATTCGACTTTCCACGTATTATTTTCATCTCCCCACTCCCCCAGGCTTTAGAACACAAAGTGCTGCAATTTTAAAAACTACGAAATCAAGATTGCATTCGACTTCAAGAAGAAAAGGGTAATACAATTTCCCCCGTTTTACACCCGATCGGAGTAGAGTAAATGATGATTCTGTTTTTCAGGTTTTATTGAATGAAAGGGTCAAGAACCTGGAGAATAAAGAAACGAGTTCATTGCGGTGAACATTGAGGACATCCTCTACTTGGTTTCTGATACTGGAATTTCGGGTAAGCCTGGGCTGAGGCATGAAGTCTATCTTCTTCTTTCCCTGCCAAAAAGGTGTGCTTCTCCGTGGCAGTTTCTTCCAGAGTACTAACTGAATGATGGTCTTATCGATGACACTCTCTTCCAGAGTGTTTGATTTTGTTGGTTATATCAAAGTTGATTGATCTTGTGTTTCTTTAACATGAAAAATAACTGTAAGAACCGAATTATGACGTGTTTGCTTCAGAATAGCTGCTTTCTTAGTATGACGAAGCGAGGTCAAATAAAAGAAGCAGTCGTGCGCGGGAGATTCGCTGCGTCATGTATGGTCGAGAAAATTTTTGCAAGGGAATGTAGAAGGAAAATAGAACTATTGACTGTACCCAAAAAAAAAAAAGAACTACTGAAATTTAAATTAATGCTTTTATGATTTACAAAAAAAATGTAAATTGATTTATTTTTCTGAAAAATTAAATTCGTCTGTCTTTTGGCATTTTCGTTCATATGAGATGAAGAGTTCAATTTCAATTTTCCTAAATCAGGTTATATTGCTTTTTATAGTTTAAAAAATATACATCATATTTTATTTCTTAAAACGAAAATAAGCCCTTATAAAAATTAGAAGATGGTCAAAACATTTATATTATAATTAATATTAATTTTATTTTAAAAATATTTTATTCTTGTTTATGCTGTGTTGAGAAGTATATAATTTTCGAACACGGCATGTGAGAGATTAATTACGATTTACAAGTAATGAAATTGTTTTAAATATATATATATTTGCATTTAAAATTTTATTCTATTTTTAATTTCATTAATTGATTTTTAAAGTTTACCGTTAAGTTGTTCTCAAAAATAAATTATTCAAACTAAATTTAATGACTTAGAACAATAACAAAATCTCCAAACTCGGTCCTATATCACCAAAATATAATGTTGGAGGTATTTTCATAATTTTATAAACAATAAAAAGATTATAAGACTAAGAATAATGTGGACTCTTAAGCTAGAGCCCCTTGCTCTTCATGTTTCAAGAAATACAGTTGGAACTTTTAAGTGGTGGTTTCTCCTCAAGTCCAAGATCAAATAAATGTAAGGGGGGAAAAATAAGAAAGAGTTGGCCTTACTTAATATATAGATCCCCGCAAACTCTTTCCCCCCCACTTTAGTTTTCTTCATTAATTAATAAAATACATAAAAATATTCATTGATTATAAATCAATAAATCATACAAGCCATTGACATTTTTTTTACGGTCAAATTTTTAAAAAAGAAGACATTATAGACAAATAAAAAAATTGATTTCAACTACAGCCCGATTGGTTATCTAAATAGAAAATTCATTATTTAATAATATCTATTTTTTTAACATTTTTAGTGACGTAAGATATTTTTGGCATTTGGACCACAATACTATATTAAAAAATATTGATTACTAAAATCCTAACATTCAAAAGCATTCACCAGTTAATCAATGATATGGCTTGCACCAATCCAATTTCTAACCAGCTTGCTTTTCTTGATTAAGGTGATATCATGTTGCCTAGGGTCCTTTTTTTGTCATTAGTGGCAGTTCTGCCTTGCCTGAGCTATTCAGGTTTCACAAGCCAAGCATTGGATAGGGGTCAAATCCTATTCAGTCTGACTTGAACACATTATTATTTTTTTATGTTTTTAATTTTTATGTGAATAATATTTATTGAATGATATTATTTTTGATTTAAATGTCACCATAAATTATATTATTTTTATGATCTTTTTAAACGTTTCTTATCATTACAATTTTGTTTAATCTCTTTAAAAATTTAAAATCTATTTTAAATTAATATTGTGTAAAAATAATTGATAATGATTGATTCATGTAATTTTAAAAAATTACTTTTCATTCTAATATTATTTTTATGAAGAATATATTTGAAATGATAATAATTATATTTTTTTAAAAAATATATATTTTCCTAAAAAAATATTTTTTAAAAAAGTTTTTCAGTTGATCAAGCCAAAGGCCAAAGCTGACCCGAACACTAGATTTCTAAGTTGACTCAAATTTCACATCGAGCAAGAGTAATGCACGACCTGGCCTTGCCCAAGTGAAACCCTATGCAGACTCAAACCCCGTTATTTTTTTATGCATTAATATATAATATTGATTATTTATATCATAAAATATATAAATATAATTATTTTGACATATAATTAGAATTGAGTTTAAATTATTTTGCATTGCTAATATATATTTTTTATTATCTGCAATTTTTTTCTTCTTTGCTGTTTTTAAATAAAAAGGAAAAATATTCTATAATTTAAACTCAATTCTAATTATATATATTAAATAATTTTATTTATACGTTTTACGATATAAATAATCAACATATATTAATGCATAAAAAAAGGGTGTGGGTTTTGGTCCGCAGGAGATGGAAATTGGAGCAATAGGGAGGGGTGGGAATAGGGTGGCAAGACTTGCCACTCAATGGCAAAAAAAAATTGAAGCCTGGACAACTCAGTATCACCTTAGCAGAGAAAAAACAAGCTGGTCAAAAATTGATTTGATACAAATCAAGCCATTGATTTATAATGTTATAGTGAATACCTTTGAATGTATAGTATTGTAGTAATAAACATTTTTAATATAATGTTGTGATAAAAAAGCCAATATTTTTTTTTTATCAAAAACTCTTTGTTTATTTCAACTTCTTTCTAACCAAAGGAGACCTTATAAACACTAAAGAAAGAAAGTTCACCGGCTACCTGTTGGTCAAAAATAAAAGCAACCGCCTGCGAGCAGCAACATGATGAAACTTTGCATCAAGGTTGTTAGAATTTTTCATTGAAGCTATTAATTAAGACTGAACTTATCACGTCAGTCTTTTTAAGTTCAAAAAAGTTTACAATCGAACTGTATTTTTGAAATTTAAAATAATAAATTAAACTCAAAAGAAACCTTTTTAAATCCTATTATATTTTTTAAAATTTAATATAAAAAATAAACACTACAAAACTAAATGAGTGCAGTGTTTACTTCAAATATATTTTTTAAAATTTTAAATTAAAATATATTTATATATAGGTCAAGGTTTGAGGATTGAAGGCTGACCTTTTAACCATAAGAACCAAGGCCGCCCGTCAAAATGGAACTTTAAAATAAAATTAAACTTAACAAAACTAACTTACTTAGACCCTAACATTTTAAAAACTAGCCCTAATTAACAACTGCTTCTCAATACCAAATCAAAATATTAAAACATAATGTTTCGAAATTAATTGCCCAAGCCGGCCGACAGCCCTATTTTTCAACACCAAACCAAATGCTTCAAAATATTAAAATATAATGTCTCAAAATTAATTGCCCAATGCTAAAGGGCTAGCCCGACCTTAATTGCCTGTTCTATTTCTCAATACCAAACCAAATGCTTCAAAATATTAAAATATAATGTGTTAAAATTAATTGCCCTATGCTTCACAGTGCATTACTTCTAAGTTATTTTTTCAAGACATCAAATTCAAGCGTCTGCGAGAGGAAATATTACAAACAGAGCTGTTGGGATATAATAACACACCACGTCAGAACAGAATTTAAATCCACTTACAAGTAACAATAAAAACACACAGGAATCAGAGTTCAAAATAAAATTCACCAGCAGTGATGTAGTCACAAGCACAGAAAAGGAGATACAAAAAACACAGGCAATAAAACAAGGACAAGAATAAAAAAGATTCTAGTATTCATCTCCCTCATCATCCTCACCCTCAGCTGACTCTGCACCCACCTCCTCGTAATCCTTCTCAAGAGCAGCAAGATCTTCACGAGCTTCAGAAAATTCCCCTTCTTCCATACCCTCACCCACATACCAGTGGACAAATGCTCGCTTAGCATACATAAGATCAAACTTGTGGTCAATGCGAGAGAACACCTCCGCAACACTAGTGGAGTTTGAAATCATACAAACTGCCCTCTGAACCTTGGCAAGGTCACCGCCGGGAACAACAGTTGGTGGTTGATAGTTAATACCGCACTTGAAACCAGTAGGACACCAGTCAACGAACTGTATGGTCCTCTTGGTCTTGATGGTGGCAACCGCAGCATTCACATCCTTGGGCACAACATCACCCCTATACATCAGACAACATGCCATGTACTTACCATGGCGAGGATCACATTTGGCCATCATTGATGAAGGCTCAAACGCACTGTTGGTGATTTCAGCTACTGAGAGTTGCTCATGATAAGCCTTCTCAGCAGAGATGACTGGTGCATAAGAGGAAAGCATAAAGTGAATTCTAGGATATGGGACCAAATTGGTCTGGAACTCGGTCACATCCACATTCAAGGCACCATCAAACCTCAAAGAGGCAGTTAAAGAGGAAATGACCTGAACCAACAAGAAAAATGATGTTATTAACCTACAATGTCGGAGAAATTGACCAAACAAATTCATACCCTGAGAAATAATTAACTAATTTAAATTTGAAGAAATATACCTGAGACACAAGACGATTGAGATTCGTGTAGGTGGGACGTTCAATGTCCAGGGAGCGCCTGCAAATATCATAAATAGCCTCATTGTCCAAAAGTACAGCAACATCAGTGTGCTCCAAGAGAGAATGGGTAGAGAGAACACTGTTGTAGGGCTCTACGACAGAGGTGGACACCTGAGGTGACGGGTAGACTGTAAACCCAAGCTTTGATTTCTTTCCATAATCAACAGACAGCCTCTCCAGGAGAAGCGAACCAAGCCCAGAACCAGTGCCTCCACCTACTGCGTTGAAAACCAAGAATCCTTGCAGCCCAGTGCAGTTGTCAGCAAGCTTTCTGATGCGATCCAAGCACAGATCAACGATCTCTTTTCCAACTGAAAGGATAAAGTTAAAACACATAATAAATTATAAATGAGATGTTGACCGTATATATGAATGCGTGAAAATAAATAAACAAAACTGCTACCACTAAAACTTACTGGTGTAATGACCACGGGCAAAGTTGTTGGCAGCATCTTCTTTACCACTGATCAACTGCTCAGGATGGAAGAGCTGGCGGTAAGTCCCAGTTCTCACCTCATCAATGACAGTAGGCTCAAGATCTACGAAAACAGCTCGTGGCACATGCTTTCCAGCACCAGTCTCGCTAAAGAAGGTGTTGAAAGCATCATCACCACCGCCAACGGTCTTGTCACTGGGCATTTGGCCATCAGGCTATAGAAAAATTTTACATAAGTAGGGGCATTTGAATAACAAAAAAATTATGCAACGAAACCATTAAGACCAACCGCACAGATATGATAAATTTAATGGAGTTCGATTACAACTTGTTTAGAAAACATAAGTAAGAAAAACAGTACATAGACGAATAAAGAAACGGATTTAAGGTCCAAAAAACTCGGAGAGCACAAAACATTTTCTATGCAGACCGCGCATTAGGCAGAACGAAAAAGATCGAACTCGGATCTAAGAAAGAACAAGACGGCTTAGACCTGAAATTCCTAGATCTGGAGACTCAACGTCTCAAACAAATTCTGACACGAGTCGGACAATAATTCAAGATATACATGATAAAATTCAGATCCAGAGACAAAAACCAACAGTCATGAGGATAAGACCAAGATCCAGTCATTTAGTAGCATAAAAGGAGCGAATGAGAAGGTACTCACCCCAATTCCGTGTTCGAGGCAATAAAGCTCCCAGCAGGCATTTCCAACCTGGATACCGGCCTGACCAATGTGGATTGAGATACACTCTCTCATCTTCGTAGTGCAAAGGAGGTGAGTGAAAGAATGAAAATGAAAGCGCAAGGAACAGAGACAAGGCAAGGAAGGAAATGAAGGCGTTTATCAAGACGCCTCCTTCTGAAACCTAATGCAGAACGTGGTAGAGGTTTGGATAGTATTTATAGGAGGAAGGGAGAGAAATTTGAATTTCGAAATTAGATGACTCCATTTTCATTTCAATTAAAAAGAAAATAAAATGGAGGCGTGCTTTCACTATTTTTTTTCTTTCTTTTTGGTCAGAGTGCTTTCACTTTACGCTGCGGCAAGTGTCGGGCTAGCTCCTAGCTGTCACCCGTTGGCGTTCTCTCTTGGCAATGCCCCTTAGGCCTCTGGCCTAGGCGTTACGGTAACAAATTTTGGTTTCGCGCTTTCGGGCTTTTGGCCGAACAAAAACTCAATTTATTATTATTTTTAACTCGGCGTTGGTTCTATACATACACAAAATATTAAATAATTACACTATTTTATTAATAGTAATATACTTTGTTAGAGTTTTTACGTTAGGAAAAAAATTATATATTTAGTTTTATACACTTAACGTGCTTATTTTTAACTAAATTAAGACATATAAATCTTTTATAAATTATTTATTTTATAATAAAATTTTGTCATTAATATTATGAACACATTTAAATTCATTTCTTTTAGTTTGATTTGATAAAATTATACTATTAAGTATGTCAAATTAAGTGCCTAAATTTTATCATTTATGTTATATATATAAATATGTAACAAAATTTTATGCAGTTGTTCTTGATGGTTTGACAACCAAAATGCAAATCCTCCCCGTATCCTTGTTAAATTCATCTATGCATATTATAAAAATCCTAAAAGGTCGCATTATTTTTAAAACATGGATAGTGTAAATTTCTTGCATGTATATGTAATAGTAAATAGTACTTTCTTTGATTTTATTTATAAGTTATTTCTATCAATCTCATCAATATCAATATAATAAAAATATAAGAAATAAAAATAAATAAAATTTCAAACATAACTCTTAAGTAAAATATAAAAAATAAGTTAATCATATAATATTATTTTTCTGTCTTTCTCTCTCTTACTTTTTAAAAGTGACTTGAAAACTTTAATTTAAAATAAAATAATTCTATCAATAAATGATTTACAAAGTGGACTAAATTATACTTTTAAAAAGTGATTTTATATACTAGATCGGACAAGTATTACTTAATGCAACTTATTTTTTAAATTTATTGCACGCGCTTTAAGAGAGATGATGGAATATATATCAATAACTATTTCAACACTTAATGTGAAACTCAGTTAGATCTCCAGGTGAAAATATTGCAATCAAGTTTACCAAACAACATGTTAATTAGTAAAAAGAAGTTGAGTTGAACAAACAAAAGAAAGAAATTGAAGAGTATTGCAATTAATATAAAAGATTGTCGCTGGGTTTATATGCATGTGAGAACATGTGATAGGTCTCATCTCTTACGAGTAGCTGTACAGTTTCATCCATTAGTCATGATGATACGATGAAGAGGTACTATTACACAAGATATATGCAATTGAAAGATGGATTGAAAGCGATTTATTAGTCAGAATAGATTTTCAGGAGAATAGGAATATATCGTTCTAGTCTGAAGCATAAAAGATTAAAGATCACTTTCGGCTGTTTTTTTTCCCCGGTATCAACGCACGTTATCACGTATGTTGACTCACGTATATTGAGGAATGGAATGCAACGTATATACTAATATATCAGAGCAAAAGAGGGGAAAGAATAAGTTCCGCTGGGAGAGAGTACACGAGGCTGGGCAAACAACTTTTACTATGAACACTAAATAGAACAACAGTAATAATTTGATTTCACTGTGGTTTTGTCTGTTTACCTCTTTCCACTGTCACTATAAAAAGGATCCGAAGGGTGAGGGGTGTTGCGCAGAGAGTGAGTTATTACCTCTAATTATCTGGCAATGGCTTCATCGTCCTCAAGTGAGTATTTCAAGCTTGTTAAAGTTGGAACAGAAGGTTTTGCCTGTCTGGAGGAGAGAATGGCCCCACCCCACCGGCGTTCTCTTGTTCATCATTGCTATCAAGTTCATTATGTGATTCATCGTCACCCAGGAGGACCTGTCATTGATAACTACGAAGCTGTACGCAAATACGGGGGCGTTATAATTCTCAACTCCTCCTCCACAAACCCCCCACACTTCCCATTTCGCAGCTACTAAACCATGACAAATCAAATAAAGTGTGTGCGAATAAGAATTCCGCAATGAAACTGCATGTCAAAGGCCCTTCGGTGTTCCTGCTGGCTGCTGCATGTGCTTTATATACAACTGTTTGTGGTTTCCTCTGTGTGTGTCTGTCTGTGTGCTGATCCCATGTCTCTTGTGGTGAAATTAGCTTTATAATTATGTCCTGTAATATATATATATATATATATATATAATTCAGTTGAAGACATGGTATATTTATGGACAGCTAATTAAATAGGTGGTCTGTGTCTCTTGTGACTGGGGTTTTTTTTTTTTTTTAAATAAAAAATGTGCGAAGCGATGGTTTCACTTTGAAGGGTTTGAATTTTACACAAAAAATGTCCAATTTTTTTTAATAACTAGATATTAAGTAAACTAGCTGGACGACATAATTTTTGGACAAAAGCATCTCCATCAAGCCATCGATATATATTTTCACTTTTGCTCCCGATGATTCTTTAGTAAAATGGTTAACACTTGGCATGATTTGATCAGCAAGAAGTTGCACTCCGCATGTTAAAGTCGCCGGACGTAGCTTGATAGGGAAAGAAAGACTGACTCCGCAAATAAAGAGTCAATATATATGGCAGAAACTGGGGAAATATATATCCATAGTTTAATGCTAAGGCTCGTATGAATATATAACCAACGGTCATACATATGTTTACGAGGCGATGGCCCTTCGCCTCAGGATCTAAAGAAGACTTCTCAAGTTATGAAATTAAATTTTAATTTTCTCACGAGTTCTAAAGTTTGAAGCATGGTTTCCGTAAATACGTTGGATATGATCAGAGAATTGGGTGTGATTTGCTGAGCATACTAATATGAGATTATCATCGTCACAATTATTTTTACACGTTCAAACCATCACATAAAACTAGCTGAAATTAAACTTCTAGGAACTAGCTAGTGCGTGGACAGTAAAGAAATAAAAGCGAAATTATGTTTTAAAGATTTAGCGGACGTAAGATAATTAATTTACTGCCAGCGGATTAACGCATAATATATGTATGTATGTATATATACCGCCAATATTCTTTGATACTAATTGTTAATTGCCAATTCATGATTAGCTAACCAGACTAATCAGAAACTGAAAAACTGCAGTCATGCAAGCCAATAATATGTAATTATCCTATGCATCTCATCTGGACCAGGAGTATATAAACTATGGCAAAAAGATCTGCTTCAACGGTGCAGGGTGAGCATCTATTACTAGCACTTTAAAAAGGAAGCAGATAATGCTCTAATTGAATACAATCTGTATGTCGTCGTCCTCCATCGTAGCATGTTCACAAACAAAAATAGAGATGGTTTAAATTTCGCACTCTTTATTTATTTAGTTAGGAACATGATCACAGTTGAAAGGCACCTGCATATTTATCTTATTATTGTCTTGCACATATAATATTCTGATTTCAGGGGCAAAAATTCCCCTAGACCATGGTCATTGCTCGACGACATCGATGGATCCGTGATATATCAAGGCATTTATCCATTGACCCATTGATATGTACTTTTTATATTCTGGTTCTGGAATATAGCTAGGTCTTGCGGTTAGTTTTAATTCTTGAAGGAAGAAATTCAAACGATAAGTTTGACCTGTCGGTCCATTCCCTTTAGTTCATTGCGCTTTTTGTCAAAGATACCATTTCAAGTGAGGCTTCAGAGACTGGATCGATGAGAGAATCATATATGATCGATCCACAATAGGCAAATTTCAGATCCTAAAGGGCAGTCGAAGATATTGTACCTTTGTCTAGTGAGCGGAGATGCCTGTTTAATACTTCGATGAACTAGATAGCATCAAGACTCTGGTTCGGAGAGTTGGTTCACATGGCTAACAAGGCTAGGTTTGATATATGGTAAGACCAAAAACTCATCCTATTGATTTGTCAACGCGAGGAGAGCTGTATGCAGAATATGCTTGGTGGTGTTTAAAGGTGAGAGACTCCACTACGACAAGATTAACATTGAAAGTGGAAAGAGGAGCAGCGGAAGGCAAAAACTAGCGTCGGGCGCAATCGCATAACCAAGAGCGTGACTTTTTACTTTTAGACTGTCTGATCTGATCCGATGAGTAGAATATTATATCAGGAGCAACCACGACTGCAATTCCTTGTGGTTGGAATTAAATAAATGGTTGTTATCACTAGCACAGAAAAGTCCTGTGTTTAATACTTATTTTTCTTTATATTTAACCGTCAAAAAAGGGCATGAAATGTATTAAAGTATGTCACACCTTTGATAGTTTTTAACTGTTAATTATTTAATATTTAAAGCTTATCTAAAAACAAGCGTCAAATATTTTGATTAAAAAATTTTGGCCATAAATACTTGACAGTTATTTTTAAATAAATTATAATTATTTTAAAATAATTATCAAGTATTTATTATATTTTTTTTAAATAGGAGGGCTGCTTTTAAAACATCCCTTAATATGAAGATGCAGATACAAAATAAAACAGTTAGCCAGTAATCAAAAATAATACAATAAATGTTTCTAATAATATTTACTATCAGGTAACATTAAAATTTCTATACTTTTAGCTTTAAAACCTAAAAAATATATACTTAACTTATTTGAAAACTAAGTTCCAAAAATTAAGTGGCCCATCCCATGAAAATTAGCCAAAAAAATGTGTATATATATACATAACTAATTATTATACCGACCTAACCATTATCGCTACCCACATATTGAAAATACATTGGGACACCTCTTCAAGAATTTCTTTTACATATGCAGCTATATGACAAACGAAGTAGACGCCCTCAAAGTGCTGTGAGCAAATAGTCACAACAATTTCAAGTTAATAGATAGCTAATTAAAATTGGTTAAAATTTATAATTGAAGTGTAATTAAATTTGATATA